TAGTGCAAATGATATCGCTTAACGCATTGCAGATCTTGAAATTCATTTGGTTTTTTTTAATGCCAGCGTGCGCAAGTCGTTTTGGATCGGTTGAAGCGAAATTTGCTAGGCTTCGCGACGTTTCAGCTTCGATTCAGAAAGTTAAACATTTTTCAGCTTCAAACTTCTGTTGCTGGGGGCTTTTTGGTTTGATGAGCTCAGATGAGCATATTCATACTGTTTGATTGGAGTGATGCATCTTTTTTTTCGGCTCCCATTGTCCTCCGGGAAAAGAATGGAATAAAAGGTGCTCCATTGTCGAAGGCTTTATACTGCTACTCCTATTTATTATTTTATTCTTGCGCCAGATAATTTGTCCAATTTTTGTTTGTTTTTCTGCCGTGCGAAATCATTGTGTTTGTGGGGGAGGACCCGTCTTTGTTTTGCAAATGACGTTTTTTTTCACGAAAAGAGAGTTTCTTCTAGTGCTTTTTCCCCGTTTGTGACGTTTTTATGTGCAGTTTTTGACTGGAGCCGTTTTTGAATATTTTTTTTTTAGTTCATGACACAAACTTGTCTTTTTTCTGAGAAGTTTATCTAGATTTCGGGGAAAAAAACGGAAGATTTCACTTACAGTAATTTTTTTAAAAAAATATGAGCCGGGAGTTTTTTTAAAAAGTGCGCCTTCATAACAGTTTCAGAGACTTTTTTTGGGAAATTTTTGCGATCCTGCTATAAATTTTTCGAAAAAAAGTATTTTTTTCAGGTTAGGCTACAGATTCCTTCAGAATTTTTCGCTCTCCTTTTTGATTTATAAAAAAAGTAAATTACAAAATTATAGAAGATGATTTTTTTGAGACCTTCACCATTCTTTTTCAGGCGACTAAACTTTTGTAAACAGTCCCAGAAAAAAGAAATATTTCACATTTTTGAAATATAGACCTAAAAAGAACGCTAGATCGTTAAAAATATATTCTGATAATTTTTACTAAAAAATTTTCCCTCGCCAATATTTTTCTTGAGATTAAATGAGAATTTTCTACGCAAATGACATCAAAACAAGGTTTGACTTTGGCGGAAATTACTCCAAAGAGATGACCTTCAAAACTCTTCACATTAAGTGGAAACCTATGGTTGTTCTCCCATCTAAATAGTAGGAGATATCTTTTTTTTTCTTAAGGACGAATTTTTTTCCAACCTTTTCACACTGTCTTTTTCCCCCGATGCCGAACGATCGACGATAGACGGACCCTTGAACACTTTCTTTCTTTCTTTCTTTCTTTTGTTTCGCTCTGGCGGCTAACCGAGTATCAGTTTTACTCCCCTTTTTTTTTGTCTTTTTTACCTTCCCCATTGTTGTTTTTCATGTCTGGCTGGCAGGAAATGGCTTTTATACCGTTTTTTGAGTTTTGTTTAGCGATAGGAGATGTTTGGGCTATTTTTTGTGATTCTTCTTATACTGGTTCCAGAGAAATTTAGCCACGGGACTCACTTTTCTTCAAATCGCCTCGGGGTTTTTTTTTGAGAGTTTTGTTAGTATTTTGAAAACTCTCATGAAATTTCCCTTTTCAAATAAAGTTATCTAGGTGAAATTAGAAGTATTCTACTATCACTATCAGTTTAGCGAGTTTAAACAATTAAGCAATCAAAAGAAGAAAAAACTTTGTACGAGAAGACCTCGTGGTAAGAAGTTTCCTAACGAGTATTTATCATACTTCAGGTTCAGATTTTTGAGAAAACTTTTATTCGAAGAGTTTTAGCCGCAGAGCGCGTTTCAGCCTGCAAAAATTGCCTCAGGATGGTTTTTGGACTTTAAATGACTTTTAAACGGAATAGCCTTATCTCTTTTTTGTTTAAGGGCTTTCAGCCAAGGGGCGCTTTTCAGGAAAAAAAAAATTCGTTGTGTTGGTTTTGTTGAGAACTTTTCAACTTTCGCTTATTTTCAGAGTTAGTTAACCATAGAGCTCACTTTATTCCAGAAAATTGGAGTTTCTTCATAATCTTAGAATTAATCCAATCGAACTTCTGAGGCCTACGTCACGAATGTTTACGGATTATGGTAATTGGTTGGGACGATCAATGAAAACTTGTTCGTTTTGGTCACGATATGTAAGGGAGAAGTGGAAGAAGGAACGGCAAATGTTTTTCTTTCCTTCTGTTCGTCTCTCATTTCGCCTTCTCTTCCTTGGCTGGCTTGCCTGCTTGTACAATATCTTGTGGAATGCGGATCATCCAGTTATGAGTCATTAATCAATTGGCGAATCGACTGTTTTCCTTTGGCACTTTTTTCGAGTTTCTCAGCTGTGCGGCGCACTTTTTCTTTGAAAATTGCCTTGTTAATTCTTTAAATGATATAGCGAAATACATTTCTTACTTGAGAAATGTCCTATTTCTCCGGTTTTTATGAATTTTTTGCGGTCAAGCGTGAATGACAGTCAAGCTCTTCTTAAAATGGTTTGGAAGTCCTTTTAGCCGTAGTGCGTTTTTTCATCTCATAAAGGGCCAAGAATTTTGAAAAAAAATTTTAAAAACCTTCTAAATACTTTTTTCTGAAGCGTTTCAACTTCCGAACAAGCTTTTCTCACTCAAAAGTATTAATTATTCTTCTTGAGCGTGTTTTTAGCTTTAGAGTACATGTTTGCACAGAACTTTTTTCGTTAGAAATCACTTAGAGGCGTCGTTAAAAACCGAGTTTTTTTTTCCTAATCTCAATATCAATGCCAGACAGACTATCATTGGTTCTATGGTATGATGGAACTGTTTACTTGTCTCTTCTCTCCATTAAGAAAATATAAAAAAGAAAGAAGAGAGTTCCTGCTTTCCCTTTTTCGAGTAATTAATGTCTTTTTGGGCGACGGCACAACGAACCCAATGACCGGGGTGCAGATAGCAACAAAAATATAAGAAATTTTTTTCTCCGATGGTCACATTTTTCCACCTCGTTGTAACCTTCTCGGTCGCCTTTTTCGGTATATTGAAAGGGGAAGGGAGCGTTCTTCGACCATTGTCTTCGAAAACGAGTTTATCTTCATTTTTGTTCACCTTTGAAGGAGAGCTGTTGTTTGTAGTTTGGATGAGGAAGGAATCTAACCGATTTTAACAACGTTTTGAATGGTTTCAAGAACTTTGCAGTCTGAAGTTATCATTTTTCAACTTTTTGAAGGTCTTATAACAATTTTTCTGTATTTCACGACATTGGAATTTTTCATTTTTCTTTGTACTAGGCCCTGAAATTTGTAATAAAAAGGTTTATCTGGTTTATGTCAAATAATATCAATTGAATCTTCCTTATTTCCCAAAAATTTTTCTGTCTATCATGTCTCAAAAATTCAAAATTTGATGATAAAAATCGAATTTTTATAAAAAAACATCTTTTTGGACCAGATCCTTGACACTTTTTTCTTTCCTTTTTTTTCTGCTGTTTTCCTGAAAATTAATTCAAATCTTTATGAGTGTATAGAGGACGATTGTTTTAAAGTTTATTCAGCATGTCTCAAAAAGATTCAAAAGATAAAGGAACCTAGTTACACGCCTTTTTTTCTATCCTATTGTGAAGATCTCTTTTTTTCCCGTAAACTTTAGTCGAGGCTCATTTTTTTTTTTCGAAATAACTATAGCTGTTTCAATAATGATACATACCGAAACGTGCGGCCATCCGGGGGAGTTTCGAATTTAAAAAAAAAAAAGAAAAAAAGTTTTTTCGAGTGGTGTTGGGAGTGTTTTTTTCAGCTGCCAATCAACTATTCTCCCTCATGACCCTCTATTATCAACTTTTTTTTCCTTTCTTTTTGTCTATTTATTGGTTTGTGTTTCGTTTTAGTTCAGTGTGTTCATTTTCGGCCATATAGCCTTTTTGAGAACCTTTCAATTTTATTTCAAAGCGAACGTTTTCAGTACGGTATTTTAGATTTTGGTCTTCGAATTTCACAATTGATATCGATCTGAAAATATGTTCAGTTTGAAATAGTCTGTGTATCAAAGCTCATTCTACTTTTCACGGCTTCAAGCGTTTTTGTCGAATTCGGAGTGGAAAGATGCGTCGCGGCTGAAGTCAACAGCATTTTCTATGGATTCTCTATACCGTAAAGCGCAAGCCGTTCCGGGTGGGGTGTCTTTAATTTTCGAATCTATAAGCTTTTCATTTTGAATATCTGGATCTATTTTTAAAGCTACAATACGTGGATTTTTTGAACAAAAACGACCTATCCAATGAAAAATCAGTGGTCCAAAGTACATTCAAAAGATCGAAAAGAGAACCCCCTATGAATCTTGTAAAAACAGAAATATATGAATTTTAAAATTTGCTTTTTTTTTAACTATCATTCCTGTATATAGTATGGGGAAGTTGTGTTCTGAACTCCAGTCTTTCTCTGTTTACGAATCGGTTGAGTTAAGAAGTTTTCACTTCTTTCTTTTTGTGTCTTATTGATAGAAATTCAAAGAAGTTTTCAGGTTTTTCTTCCTTTTTTTTCAAATTGGTCACGTCCGATGAGATTCCAAAAGTTGTTTTTTTCTGAAATTTTTAGTCTGAAAGTTTTTCACCATTATTCTCGTGTACCGCATGGCCTCCTACTTTCTACAGATATTTAACTTTATCAATTTCTCGTGTCCTTTTTTTCGTCGCGCCTATCCTTTTCGGTACTGAAAAAAATTCGTTTTTAGAAGGGAATCGGCAAATTCTTCTCGTCTCTGGCATCATCGCTTCGTGTTGCGCATTTGCAACGTCATAAAAAATCGAGAAGAAGAAGCGAGGAGTGACGGAAAACAAGAAGAAAATCAACAAGGCAAACTTGAGTGGCGGAAAAAGAGTTTGATTGGCCTGAAGGCTTTTTCTCGCGCGGAAGAAAAAGTTGGGTTCGGGTGTGACGGAGTAGACGTCACAAAAACAAGTTGATCTGACTGAGAGGATCAAGTTCTTCTCGCTTGAAGGAACGCCATTTTTTGGTGGTCAATCGAAGAGAAAGCCCCTGTCAATTTGGTGCTGTCATCATTTTCCTATCACCTTTCGACTGGTCTGAAGAATGCCTTACTCGACGGGCTCTATCGACTCTGGCTACCATGGTATGCATCGCCATACGAAACGCCTCGAGTCTCGGCCCAAAACCACTGGCGGACTGACCGTCTTCGATTACTACGAAGCTTCGAGCAACTCCTCGGACCTCACTGCGATGAGCGTCACTGGAACCGACGAGGACGACTCGTTGTACTTCTCGACGACGCCTGGGACTCCCAGCTCTCCTCCTCTCGCGGATACTCACCTCTTGTCGGACTTCCTCGATGTCGCCGTTCAGCATCATCGAAGGCACATCGATGAGAAGAAGGGTGCCACGACGATTATACCTCCGTCAAAGTCTGGCCGAGCTCGCGCTCGCCGCTCCAAGAAGAAGCTTCGTCGAGGTCCCACCCAAATGTTTGACATTGGCTCGGCCATCGGATCTTGTTGCTCCATGCCTGGCAGCAGTGCTCAGATGATGCCGAATGATATGGGAGGCGGTAGAGGTCGACGACGTCGACCGAACCAAAATCGATCCCGACTCGAAGACCTCGCCTTCCAGGTCTACGTCTACTTCCAATCCCTGCTCGCCGTCCTCGTTCAACAGCTCGAAGACGTCGAGAAGAGCGATGCCGCCTCGACGTCTTCTTCTTCTTCTTCTTCCACTCATTCTGACGGTGCTGCCTATTATTCTCTTCTGACTACTAGTATTCGGGAATATTTGATGTTTTTGGAGAGGTGAGCACTGTAAAGAGAGAAAATGTGCTCTGAGGAGATTTTTAAAAACGATTTTGAAGTATGAATACTGGTTTCAAAGGATTCACCTTTTTATTATGGGAAAAGATATGACCTAGCGTTTGAGGGGGCCTGGCTTGACTCGTTTTCGACGTCGAAACTGCGTCTTTTTGTGGTTTTTGTTATTTTTTTCGGCGTTTACGGTGTTTTTCCTTTCGATAGTGATCTCAATCTTTTTATGGGGCTTTTTCAATGAAAGTCGACTAGTGGACGGATTACGGATTAATTGGGAGGCTTTTTTTGCTGAGAAAAACTTTGGAACTTGTTAATGAAGACGGGTACTAGAAGAAACTGAGATCATCCAACTTCATAAAAGTGTTCTTCAAATAAAGGCTTACTTGAGCAGATCCAGTTTGCTTCGAGGAAAAACTGATTTTTGGTGAAGTTACTGTTCGGAAGACTTTTAAATAACTCGAAGTTTTTTCATTGAAATTCCCTAATTTTCAAGTTTGAGAGGATCTTTTTCTTTTATACGGAAATTGCTCTTCGAAAAACTACTTTCAATATTTTTTTATTCATTTGTATGAAGTAGTTTAAAAATTTTCAGTTTTCGAAGGTTTTTTTTTCTGTCTTTTCTGTTTGAGAGAAGCTTTTTTTGTTTAAATTTGCCAGATATCTCTCTAATAACTTAATTTTTCAACACGATCGGAAATCTCTGAAAATTCCTATAATGTTTGCTCTCAGCGGCATTTTTGTTGTGCGAAATTTTTAATATTAAATATTTTTTTCTTTCGAAGATCCATTTAAATCAAGTTTTTTTATGAAAAAACATTGATAAGTTTTGAATTTGTCCTATCTATGCATATTGACAGGAATTCACAGTTCACACTACTTTTCTGAGGAATTCTGGAGGAGGAACTAAAGAAGTTGTTTGGAGTTGATAGATAGTATCTTGACCGAAACTGGCGCCGTTTTTTTTTTTCTGAGTTTTGTTGTAATACTTTGATTTCGCTTCTTGATTTCGCAGCAAAAGTGTCAAGAGAAATCGGATTGAAAGCTGATGATAAGAATTATAGCGAGATTTTTGATCATAGATCGAGTTTTTACTGGCTTCTTAGGTGATAATTTATTTGAGAAAGGTGTCAGTCATTGGTTTGAGTGACATTGGAAGTTTTGAGGAAGTGAAATTCGAAGGAAAGGAAACTCTAATGGAAAATAATTAAATGATTAGAGTCAAAAAGTGTTAGTTAAAACCTGTGCAAAGTTTTATTTACAAACTTTGAAACTTTGAAACTTTTATTCAGTCTTCAGAGTAGGTTCTCTGCTGAATCATGGAATAATTGAAGAGTTTTTTGTCGGTTCGAGAAACTGTCGTTGATCAAGCGTAGGGGTCTAGTGGTTAGGATTCTCTTCATTTACAGCCCGAAAGAAAATTTCCTCGACTCAAATTTATTTAATGTGGAGATTTCATCAATTTTTGTTATAGTTTAGTCGCCACGACTTGAAATTTTCCGACTTGCCTGCGCTTTTTTTTCTTTCTCGTATGAAAAATTTTTTTCATTAGGAGTTGAAGCTATATTTTTCCTTAAAGAAATGAAAATAATTGAATTAAAACGTGGATTTAAGAAGCCTACATGCTGTTGGAAGATATTGACAATTTTTTTATGAACTTTTTTAACCGGTTTCTTAATTATTTCCGAGAAAATTAATGGTTTATTGGTTTTTTCAGAAACTACGCCTTGAGCTGCCGAGCACAAAACGCCGGAACTCAGACGCCGTCGTCATCTTCCTCTTCGAGTAACGATGCGACGAACAATATCGATTGGACACGGGTTTCGCGAAGTATGAGCTTGCAGTTTGAGCTTGAATGAGACCATGCATTGATTATTTTTCAAGAAAAACAAGTTATATTCCGAAGCTACGCAAAAATATCTGGAAGAAAAAAAAAAACTTTCCTTTCCAGCAGATTTCGCGACGAACGAGGATGTCATGCGAGCCGTGCAGCAACTCGCCAAGAACGCCAACACGTCAGCTGCAGCAGCTGCAGCCGCGGCGGCCGCGACTGCTGGCGCGATGCCGATGACGATGCCGTCGCCGCAGCTCGCTGCGATCACGGCCGCTGCAATCGCCGGCGGCTACCAGCCTCAGTTGGCCTACATGTCGCAAGACGAGCGCAACAACCTCGAGCTCTTCTCGCGATTGAACGGCCTTCCGTCGTTGCCCTACTATCCGCATCCTAGGTGAGATTGGAGGCTGGGTCTAACCTGCAGCCTGAACTAAATTAATTTACTAGAGAACTACTTTGGCTCGGGAGTGAGTATCGAGTTGAAACTTTGGGTGCTTAGAGACATTGGTAAAAGTGCTAGGAATCACACACGAGAAATCATCTGCTAAACCCTATAGGCCTCTGAAAAAAAGCTTCTCAGGGAAATAAAGGAAGAGTCATTTACGCGTCCAGACTTTTCTTATCGAAGTGTCACAGTGGTTAAAGGGCCAGTCTCATGGTTTGTAAGCCACCAAAGTTTCAACTCGGTACACTTTAAAGTTGAAGAGAAATCGGGTTTGTAATGTTCAAATAGACGTAGAAAGATTTAATTGAATGAAAAGTGTGTATGAGCATCCAGGGTGAGAATCAACCCGACTTTTGTCTGGCAGTCGAACTATTAGGTTGCGAAGCACCATTTAAGGCCACTTTTCCATGTTTTGTGTATTTTGCGAGCTTTAAAGCGTCATAACTGGACTATAGGACAAAAGTGCAGCAAGTTTTTTTTTTATTGTTCTGAACTAGAAGGTTCTAGTTCACTTGAGATAAGTTTCATCAAAAGTCTAACTGGGGCAAAAATTGCGTTCCTCGTCAGTTCTGAAAGGAACGTTTTGCCAAATGCCTCCAACGAATAATTTGCCTGCTTCAGCCTATCGCACAACAGACCCGGTAGCAATGGTCAGCCGCACCTGACGTCCCAGCCACCGCCTCCGGTTCTACCGCCGGCTACGGCGTCGACGTCACGACATCCGTCGTCCTCTTCGATGTACGGTGGCTCCAATAACAGCATAAACACTCTCGGCGTCAACACGTCGATTCCGCCGCCACCGACGCCATCGTCGCTGAGTTCGGCCAATCGAGTACTTTCTTAGCGTTCACACAAAGTTTCCAAGGAATTCTTGAAGGTGCAGCATCCGCCGCCGATTCCGAGCAAAGATGCGCCGGTGAACGTTTCGAGAAGCTTGTCGGGAAATGTGAATGGTGTCCCGAAAGCCAACGAGGTTCATCATGTTGCTCCACAAAAGGTGATTATGAATCAAAGAAAATTTCAAAGAATGAAGATTTCAATTCAATTTATTTATTTTTCGCAACATCGGGATGGTATGGTGATGTTGCAGGGAGGGAAAAAGACCACTAGGTGGATTAACTAACCCCACCTGTGAAGAAAAAAAGTTTTTTGTGTGAGAAAAGAAACTTAGAACCATAATAAGTAGATATTTAAAACCAAGTTGATCATGGCACAAATCTGTGAACACTTGAAAGAATATGCTCGACGCCCACATTTTCTGCATACACTAAAAACATGTCCTTAAATTTTTTCTTGTCTTCCTCTGCCAATAATTGATGATCAATGTCATTCCAAACATTAGTAATGCGATGTGATAAGAAACTGAAGAAAACCAGTGAAGGTTTCGTTTTTATTAATTTAAAACCGTTTTCTCTGAGCTGACTGGGACGGTCAAAGTTGTTATGTACCTGGATGGGAGAGTCTGACTAGCACTTATTATGCACTTTTGAATTATTTGAAAAGGCTTTCATAAAATTTTGGTGTCATGAAAAGTCATAAAATTGTTGTTTATGAAAAATATTCTTTTTGAGAGTCAGTTCTATTTTCGAACTAGGACCAAGCTCAGTCTGAAAAAGACAAAAATTTTCTGACCAGTTAGACCTAACTGATTACATTCTGTTCTGAGAAAAACCTCGAGAAATTGATTTTGAACAGCATCTCCTCGATTATTTCAACTTGTCAATATGTCTATATTAGGAATGCTACTCGGCGGTTCTGCAACGAGGGAATTCGGACGCCGAGAGAGATCGACCAAAAGTAGCTGTTAAAAAGGAAGAAGTGCCCGTTAGGACAAATCAACCGGCAGAGGCGAATCGACGTATATATTTATTTATTTATTTTTTTGAAAAAAAGAGCGATTCGTATCGGAGTTGAAGCTTCTGGTGCTTGGAATGATGGAACGTCCGGAAATATGCATGCTTTTCTAGAACCAGGTTGATCAGTCGACGAAATGTCTGAGTTTGCAGATTATTGAATAGACTTTGACCAGAAATTCGTTCTTATCTTGGTCTTTTACAAATAAAATTTACACTTTTGGACTTGATATTGGGAACATTTTGCGTTCTCATAGATTGTGGACTTGTTTATTTTTATTTTTCAAAGAAAAAAATGGACTGAAAAAGATCATACTCTAGGTTTATTGGCCTATCTGTCTGAAGGATTGTGATCGATTTTTGTTTTTGGAAGCGTTCAACTTGGCCTGCTTTCGAACTAATGAAAACTTCTGAGTAAATGGACGAAAATAAAGACAATCGAGAATATTTTATGTGGTTTAAATGCATTTCTGAGATGGGATTTTTTTGGACTTTTTCGATTCTCTCAGTAATTTTTATTCATTTATTTAATTTTTCATGCGATGTAGATAATAATTCATCTCTTTCTCATAAAATTGAAAAGAGAAAAATTTTTTTCAACGTCAAAAAAATTTTTTTCGTTCGAGAATAGCCCTTTGGTTTTAATTTCTTTTGTTATTAGGTCAGTTTTTCAAGCAAAGTCCATTTACATTTTTGGCTTCTCATGAAAAATCGTAGGCGTTCTCGAGGTTTGTATCTAATATTTTTACACAATTAGAGCTTTTTTTCTCCCGAACTCGATAGAGAACAAAAAAATAAATTGAATTTAGGCCCCCTACGCAGAGGTTTTTGGCTTGATTTTTTTCAATTTGTTTCTCATGAATTTATATTTTGTTTTTCAGTTTTTTTCGGAAAAAGTTAGATTTAAAAATCTTCTACTTCTACTTGACGAATAAGTTTGACTAAAAAAACTTTGAATTTTGGAATCCAAACCAATTTCAGTGAGAATTACTGAAAAATTCGAATTTTATTGCATGTCATATGAAAAATTTGACCATTTTGCAAATAAAAACATTCAATAGCCTTTTGAAAAAAAATTGGTTTTCTGAAAATATTCTCAAGAGAGCCCTTAAGTAACCTCTTTGTGGTAATTTGAATATGAGCAAATAACCAACAACAAAGAGATCTCTGAAAGAAGTGTGATACTTCAAAATTTTCACTTTTAACTGAGTTTTTTTTCTAATTTCAGAAAATTTGGAAAAAAAACCAAAACACAAAAAAACCCAATTACCCGTCACGTGTCAAGTGTTTACGGCGGTTATTTATATTTTTTTTCCCTCTTTTTTCTATTTCAAGTTGATTCGAAAACTCAATTCCCATCCCAACAAAGCTTCATTGTGCAGAGATTAGCTGCCTCCGCGGAGAGTTTAATTACTTGCTGTGATTGAAGTGTTTTTTCGGCTTATTTAGTGGTGGTCCCACTCTTTTTTTTCCTTTTTTCCTGTGCCAATCGACTCTCGTCGGATGATGTCACGAGACGGAGGCCGAAAAGCTTGATGGAGCGCTTTTCCTCACGCTTTTCGCTGGTCGTTTATTGCCTTTTTTTTAGCGTGTATTTGATTCTCTGGGCTTTTGCGCATTTCGAAAACGCTTAGGTTTTATTCAGAGTAGTAGTTGAGAAGATTTGAGATAACTTCTGATTTTGAGTTTGATTTTTCTAAGAGAAGATTGCTCTCAAGCCTTATTCTCGAGGATATTTTTTTTTTCTTGAAATTCGATTCCAGTAAAAACTTTTCCAGTAATTTTAAATATTTTTTGTGGCTTCGGTGGTATTTAAATGAGAACTGACCAATGTATTGATCCAGTAAGAGGGGAAGATTCAGTCGGTAAAAACCGATTTTTTGAGATCTTTATATCAATTTCATGTAATCAAACTGATTGTTTATTGCCTTTCCTCTGAGGTCCAGCCACCTTTTAGATGTCATTTTCGGAATCTGAAATTCTCAATAAAAGTCGGAAAAAAGGACGATTGACATTGGATCGGGCCAGATACTATGGCCGTGTTTTTTGCGGGCAGTTTGCCTTGAAACGAATCTTCTTCTTGTTTTTTTTTTTCTTCTTTTTCATTCCGGAATGCGCGCAGGGAGTGCGTGGCCGCCAACTTGTTGACGCATTTTGAGTTCACTTTTTCTTCTTTTCATCTTGAAAAGGGCTGAGTTTTCCGCAGGTTTTTCAGTTTTCCGATAGAAATTTGTTAGCAGAATAATCGGTCTCTTCTGAAAATATGAATGCTCATGAAAATTTTCAAACTTGGTAAAATTTCTTTTCGTCTTCAATCATATCTACGAAAAAGAAAACACTAATGATAAATAGTTTCTCAGGACGAGAATAAAATTGAAAGCAAGCCATTTTTCTTTTAAAATGACCTTCTATATTGCATGGGAAACCTCATCAACGCCTCATTTCGCCCTCCGAAGAAGAAAAAAGCAGAAAAAAGAAGCCACAAAACGACGACGGAAGTGCTCGAAATCGTCCCAATAAGTGGTCAATTCAAAATTCTCAATTGACTATTTCTCTCGCTTTTTTTTGGCCAGTTTCAAAGGGTTCGAAAATCTCGCTTTTCCACGAACTTATTTGGTATTTGACAGAATAAAATTGTAAGGAAGTAAATTCGCCGTTTATTCAGGGCTCTATGAGAGTTTTGCATTTTGAGTTGGTAGTAGAATTGTTCACCTATACATCTAACTTCAAAAAAGAATGTCTAATATATTAGAAGGCTTAAGTTGGAAATCCGGCGCTGTTTTGAAGTTTTTCTACAGTTTTCGTCTAGTTTCGGCAATTTAGTGAGACATTCAAAAGTTGAGTTCTTTTTTTTGGACCCAAAATTATGGAAATTTCACGTTAAACTCTGGGGAAATTTGGACTTTCCATTAAGGTTGATAAGTTTCTTTCTGCACATTTTACGCATCCAAGTTCTCCTGAAATTTCTAGATTTTCAGATTAAAAATGAGCCTGAAAAACAAATAGAAAGAACAGTTTTGTTTTGTTTTTTTTTCTTCAGTTCCTCTCTCTCTCTCTTTTTTGGCTGTTAAAATATGCATCCAGTACACACATACACACTCACATATATCGCATTGCCAATGAGCGACGAACTCTTTTTGGTCCTCTTCCTTTCTCTCTTTTTTTGGCGTTCTCCCTGTTCGATTCGACAAAAAACAGCGAAGTTCGAATTTCTTGCGTTTAAAACAAATATTTGAGGATACGGTATATGCATAATCCGCATACACTTTGACGTAAACTTGAAGTCAAGTGGGAAATGTTCCGCGTTTAAATTTTTTTCATTCACGTTTTCGCTCTACTTCTTTACCTTTTTGCATGTATTTTTTTTCGAAATTAACGAATTTTTGTATTTTTTTTGACAATAAAAGTAAAAAAAAGTTTGAGAAATTTGCTAATTTTTTTTTTATTTTCAAAAATTATTTCAGTCGGCCTCTCTAAGGACTTTTCACTCTTTGAAGTTATTTTGTCTTGAATATTCACAAATCACACCAAACATTTTTTGGACGGACAAAAATTCCGGTTTTAGTAGAATTTATCAATCGTTCGGGTACACAGGGGCTCACATAACCCAGGATTTTCTGGTTCACGCAAAGAATTTTTTTCTTCTCCCCCGTTTTCTTTGCGCTGTCTGTCAAGAGGAGGGTTCTCTACGGCGTTCCCGTTTTTTTTTTGTTAGTTTTTGTCTTTTTTTTACGCGACGCATTTGCGTTGCTCAGTTGGCTTGAATTTTTTTTTCGGTTGTATGATAATTTTCTCAAAAATTCAAAGTTGGAAACGGGTTGACAGCTTTATACTTTGCTCTAGATATGAGGGTAGAAAACTCAAGTTTGGCTTATTTAAAAAAAAGATAGCTTGAAAAAGCTTCTAGTAGATTTCGAATATTGTCAGCAGCCGCTTTTATCAATTTTCATCCGTTTACCGGCTTTTTGAGTGATTACAACAATGGAGAGTGTGGCGTGTGTAATGAGCGTCATTATTCGATAGACCTTTAATTTTTTTTCCTTTCTCATTGGTTTTAGACTTCAATATTGGTTTTCGTCATAGGGCTGAAAGTAGCCCAAAAAGTAGTTTAGGTTTAGTTTTTTACACCCTTGCAAATAATTAGACTTGAAAACTGTGATTTATACTTTTTCAATGCGATTCTATCAAGAATTGGTCTATGAAGTGAGTTTTTTGATAGAGTTATGTCCAAATTTTAGATTCGAAGTCAGAGTTTTGGCTAATTCATGAATGATTTTTTTTTAAGCAAGATTTTTTTGTCCGTTTCAAACGCCTGCCTAGACATTCATCACCACACGTCGTCGTTGTCGTCTGCCTCAAACTTTCTTTCTTCTCCTTTTTTTTGTTTCTTTTTTGAGGCTGCTGTTTCACGGTTCCTTTCATTTTTACCCATCCACGCACCGCCTCAAATATTTTTTCAACTTTTACCTTTTTCCAGCTTTTTGAATGAGAAGAAGGTTTGATCTCGCATGCTGAGCAGGTGTCTTAACGGGTGTACCCGTATTAAACCCGTGTTTCTGAGGTTATTTTAGTCTCAGTTGGGCTAAAACGGGGGAACAACGGGTGTAAAAAAAATATGTAACCCAGCTGGGCTAAAGCGGGGTCTCAGTTGGGCTAAAAAGTGCCAAAAGTTCTATCAGCTGGGCTTATACGGGTTTAATACGGGGGCACCCGCGGAGACCCCGTGTTAGCACGGCTGGGTTACCCTGCTCAGCATTCGAGATAGTACTGGAATTTAAACAAACCAATGGGCTTGATTTATTTTTATCTTTGCGATTGAGATGGTCTCAAGAGAGATGGATTTTGAAGGGAGTTGTAGTATCGGAAATACGCAATTCTAAAATGAAGTAATGTAGTTTTTTCAAATCGTTTCAAATTTGTACAACTGTTGTTGCCTGGCGATTGCCGCTCCAATTTGAATCAAGAAAATATAAAGTGCGCTATAATTACCTTATTTGCTAGGTAGACAGAACTTCAGCATTTTTACGTGATCCCATAAAGAATTCGGTCTTTAAATAGGTTTTTGAGCGCAATTTTTGAACTTTCATGATTGCACAAGGCTTATATCCTCATTTGGAAAATTTTTTTTTTCAATTTTGAAGGTAGAGAAGTAGTTGTTTGAAGTGCCGATCAAGCTTTAGCATTTTTTGCTCAAAAGTTACCTTTGCAACAACTTTACATGTAGTTTAACGCTAATCATGGGTATGAACTATATTAAATGTGATCCCAACTGTTCGCAGTCTGAAAATCGATGCAAGATAACAGAAAGGGATATATTCTCACCACTGTTTCCCTTTGAAAACACCTTGGAACGGACTTTTTCTCCCTTTATCTCGCTCTGACCCTCTTTCAAGACGAACTATCTTCTTTCTTTCTTCTTTCCTTTCCTTTTTTCTCTTCCTTGTCCGTTTTGTAATGTACGAGTGATGGCCGGATCGCCGTCGGGTTGCCCTCCTCGATCGGTGCGATCTTTCGCCGTCTCTCACCATCCTCTGGGCAATAGTTTTGGGACCCATTCGCCTCTTTCTGCCTCGTTGGAGGAGAAAGAGTTTCGGCGGTGGTGTCCTTTTCAAATCGCGTTTTTACGTTATCGCCACCAATACTACCTATTTTTCTTCTTTTTCTTTTTAAAAACACTAATTATCGGCATAAGCTTGGTTTGGTTTTATGGACTAGGAATGGGTTAGACAATGGCTATGTTTTACCTAAATTTTTTTCGGTTTTTTTTTTGACACCTTCACATTAAGCTTTTGAATTCGCGGTATTTTCCAGATTTTTTTCCAAACAGGGAAATAGTAAGATGGGCTGATTTCTTCGGAAAAGTTCCGTTTTATGCTTTACTCCCACCTTAGAATAAGCTTTTGGAATAGGAAAATATTAAATAAGATTAGGACACCTATGAAGTGACTCGACAGTTAACCCTACAACTAAATATTCAGGTTTAAGTTCACATATGCGTTTATTAAGTATTTGCAAGTTTTCACTTTGAGATCTGCTAGTGTGACTTAAAAATTTTTATTTTGTTTTTGCGCATTTTGAACTGAACGTAGACTGATAATACTAAAATGACTTTTGAGACTTCAAATTAGAAAAAAAAACTGAAAAATCGAAACTTCGTCTTTATGCTTGTTCAAGGTTTTTAATAGAATGAGCTTTTTGATTTCCTTAATAAATCTCTTACTTTTAGGCCTCCCGTCTATTTAAGTTTGATTCATTTTTTTGTAGGATTTGATTCACTTGACAATGTCAACAGCATAAACTATTGAATTATTTCAAATGTATCAAATATTAACATATATTTTCATTCCGAAAAAAATTATTGATTTTGTCACGTCAAAGTCGTAAGTTTCAAATACGCCACACGCCTATCAATACGGGAAATCGGCAGCCAAAGGGGCTGCGCGGCGAAAGTTTTTATGGCCTTTTTTGTCGCGTCCACACTGTTATAAATAGTTTGAAATTGAGAATTTTGCGGTTTTCGGAAGACTATTTTCACTTTAAAAAAAGCTTGAAAAAATCGTGAACTTTCAAGAGGGAAAATTATCCTTATATTCTGTTCTGTCTATTTGTCTGTACAAACAAGTGCTTCGTACTCAGTGATGCTTATCAATTCGTATCAGTCCAATTGATCATCGCAAAAGTGTTATGAGTTTGGCAGAATGTTAGATTGATCAGCTTTTGAGAGACATATGTCATTCACAAGGGCCTCTCACTTGAATTTTTTTGGTTTGAGTATTAGGAATAAAATTTTCTGACTGATTTCGGACTTTGGCTCCTTGAAGTGCTCTTTTTTTCTAGAAATTAGATTACCTTGGACCCGCGGGCTCTTCGAAGCTTGAAGTGTGCGCTTTCTTGATAGTTTTGCTGCTTTGTTGTTTTTTGTACCGAATTTCCGAAGGTTTTGTGAATTTTCGTTTCTGAATCTACTTTGAGCTCGTCAAGTACTCATCTCAACTTCAAGGACTTTTGAAGAATGATTTTTCGAGTTTGGATAGCTATTTTGAGATGGAAAAATACTCTATCTTGGTGAAAGTTGTATTGTTCAAAGGCGTACACAACTAGGAGTAAAACTAGGGAAAAAATGATCCAAATTTGAGTTTTTCAACTTTCAAGACGCATTTGAGCTTAACAACCGACTTTTTCTGATGAGAAAACCGCATTTTTCTTTTTTTTTTTTCTTTTTTCACCGTAGTAAAAAATTTTTCACTGCTGTTGTTTAGAAGAGAAAAATCCATCTACCTATCTATCAACATTGGAAAAAATTCCGTTTGCAGAAAATATAGCAGCTGTTTGCGGCTTTCTCTTCTTTAATGTGATGAGTAGAAAACAAACAAAATTCTTTAAATATTATTTTCCGCTCAAGAAAAATTGTTCTTTCACATTGAATCTTTACGGTTGGCTGTAAAAAATTGTTTCTCCTCTACGAAAAAATGAGCTCCCAACTCGTAAATCTCACCCACACAAACATGCTATTTGCGGTTTTTGTTCTTTTCCTTTTTTTTTATTTGCATCTCGTGCGAAATTTTTATTTCCCAACGTAGGAGTGATGTCAGTTTTCGGCTGTTTTGGCTTGATGAATCTCGCTCTAATGATAAATTGCGGTTTTTTGTTGTTGGCTTGAGAAGTTGCGCTTCATTGATAAATTGAATTGGAAAACTAGGAAACTGTAATGGATTTGGAGATTAGAAAAAGTTTAATTGGTTTCAAGTTCGAAGAAAGTTTTCTTCATGCTCGATCTGTTTGAAAAAATTACCTTGCTATATTATTTGAAGGCGCATTAACTAATTCCAGAAGTAATATCAAGGCAAACGGCCGTTTTCAGTGTTTTTAGGTCTCGTTTTAGCCCTTTCCAACATCCCAGAACAAATTTTACAAAAGTTTTCCGATTTCAATTTCTTCCTTCCAATATTTTGATTTCTTTTCCACGGAAAGTACACATTTTCCTCCCCCTCTTTCTCAGGAATCCATTAAACGCGGTAGCGCGTGATTCGGGGGGCGTTTTTTAACACCAATAATTGTTCTTTTTTCACTGTTTTCGTCATTTTCGTGCGTCCTGTCGGCTTTTCTGGACTGACTTGAAGCTTTTTCCAGAAAGAAGTGCGAAAAAGCCTTGAACTTTATTGATGTTGACGCAACGACGCGAGTTCGTCTGCTCAATGTCACCGTCCTCATCAACGTCTTCATCGGCGATGACGTCGATTCGGACGACGTCGAGGACGTCTTCTTCCTCTTCGACAAGTGTCACTGGAGGCTACGAGACGATGAGCGAGATTTCTGCGGACCGCCTGAAACCATCGCCAATGTTTGTCTTGCCGACTGTCGACACGGTGCCGCCTTCAGTTGGATTATTCGGCCAGCAACCCTTCGGACGTCTTCTGAAGTGCTCGCCGATGGTGGGAGCCTTCACCATGTTCGCCAACGAGAGTGAAGCCGTCAAGCAGAAGTCCGATGAAATCCGACAGTTCGAAGAAGAAAAAAAGGAAGAGGAGGAAGAAGAAGTGGAAGAAACCGAGGAGTCTGAGGACTGCCAGAGCTCTTGCTCCTCCAGCAAGCAGACTGAATGGTTTAACGAACATGACGACTCCTATTGGAGATCTTGCGGCGGAATCCGACAGTTTCTGCCGCCGTTGGCTTGGAGCTCTTCCTCCACCTCGCCTGATGACGATTCTGAGGATTCAGATGAAGACGAGCAGCATGAAGGCTGTGTGATTGTGCCTTTGAGCGACGCCGACATGGCCTACGTCGAATGGGCCCATTCTGAGAGCCGACTTTTGGAGATCTACGCCCAGCCTATGCATCGGTTCCACGTGATGCCGCCGATGTCTTTTTGTCTTCAGCAGGTCTTGACTGAGACTGGCACTGGGCCTTATTCGTATCTAGGTGGCTTTGGTTGGTTTTTATGCTGTGTTTATTGAACTGATAGTGCTCGAAACTTACCAAGCTAGGGGTAATCAGAGAACAATGAAGGAAAGTGAAAGACTTCAGACAGTTTTTCTGGCGTCTTTTGAGGCTGGTCACTCGGGAATGAGAATTGACAAAGCGGCCGGAGTAATTGAAAGAGAGAGATCAACGACTCACTGAAGAAAGGCCCAGAGAAAAACCTATTCTCGAGCTTTCCTCTTCAGACTAACATTGATCTTCCGCTTTCCCTTTTGTCCCCTGTGAAGAAAAATTTCTTCGAAATTTAAATCACACTGGAAATTCCCAAAAGTCTACTCTAGAAGACAATTGGAGATTTTAAACTCAAACGTCGGTCCTAAACGGTGTTGATCATGTTGATTGAGGGAAAGTCTAGGAGTTAGGAAAAAAACTTAAAGGCAAAAGTGGAACTTTCGATACGGATCAAAGGAAACTATTTTTCATGTTAAAAACTTGCTCTTAGGATAAAAGAATTGGAAAAGAATTGAATTTTATTATTGGAGCCCTTTGGATTGTATTTTAGCTTGAACAGAATTTTCAAAGCTTTTTTTAACGTTATCCATTTTCCAGCCAACCTCGATTCGTTGAAATCTTCTCTGCCGACCGTCTCTACGGCCACCAATGGTAGTTGATGAAAACTTGATAACTTTTCAAATTGTCATTTTCCAGGAGATGCGAGCAATACGGTCAAACAGACCCTCGAGCTCATCAACAAGGACGTCATCAAGGACTCGACGATGCTCTCGGGACCGCCGCCGCCGACGTCGGCCTCGATTCTGGCCAGCGGACAGTTCCAGGTCTCCAAGATGGACGTGGTTCGTTTCTCGAAGATTATTCGACCATCTGTCAACTGATCTGGTCCAAAATTCTAGAGCAGGTAGTCCTGCGTATGCGTATTCGAAAACAAAACAATAAATTATTGGCAAGCGAAAAAAGCTGGTCGGAAATAAACGCATTGATTTTTTATCTTCTGAAAAGCATAATCCACTTTTTTCCTGAGGAGTTGATTTTGAATCAAACCAATGTCTTCAACGTTCAGCTGAGCGAAAATATCTGGCACTACCACAACAAGGTGGCGCAGACGGACGCGATGCTCCACAGGAAACTTCACCTCCGCGACATGCTCTACTACGCCATCGCTCCTGTTTTCCCCAGTGAGTATGGATTTCATTGAAGAAAATATCATTCATGTTCAAGTACAGAAATAAATTATTCTAGGAGGAGAAGCTCAGAAAAACTCACATATAAAAAGAAAAAATGATTTTTTTTAGGTCAGGGAAATTGTGTTGGCAAAAATAAAAACAAGTCTAAGCCTTAGGGTTAACTTCATTTGAAAATATTTGAGTTGGAGGCTTTCAAAAATGGTTTGCTTGTGTATGAGATTGAGACAAGTGTGCTCCATTGAGATAAGAAGATGACTTTTTCATTTCTTTCTTTTTCCAGTGTGTGGCCTGTACGTGGTCGGATCGTCATTGAACGGTTTCGGAAACAATTCATCGGATATGGACCTTTGCTTGATGATCACCAACAAAGAGGTCATTGAACTATATTAAATGGTGATTTATTATCTTTTCTGTTTCAGCTCGACCAAAGAACGGACGCGGTCGTCGTCCTGAACATGGTTCTGTCGACGCTGCAACATGAAAAAATCGTCGTCAGCCAGCAGTTGATCTTAGCCAAGGTATAAGGGGGTACTTTAGGGAAGTTGAAGGGGAAATTAGAGGGTTTTCGGAGGAATTTCCAACAAGTTTGAGTCATTCCAAATGCGGCAATAGGGATTATTTGAGTTTTGAGATCATCCGAATTGATTTTGGAAAGTTGTCGTTCCATATTTTTGTTGAAAGAGGATGAGTTGAGCTATTTCAAACGCGGACATAGAAGAGACCCTTTTGAGACATTCCCAATGCGGTTGTAACGCTCAAAATATTTTTGTTTGAAAAGTCAGAGTTTCAGATATATATATATTTTTTTGAATTTTTTCTGTCAAAGTTGAACCATTAGGTACGGAATATTGAATATTGGCATTGAAAGCAATATGAAACGTTTTTCCAGGTGCCTATAGTTCGGATTCGTTTCACGGAACCCTTCCTCGACATCCAGGTCGATTTGAACGCCAACAATTCGGTCGCCATCAAGAATACCCATCTTTTGTGCTATTATTCTTCATGTAAGTTGCAAAATCCGAAAAATATCGAATTAGAAGAAATTTCAGTTGATTGGAGAGTTCGTCCAATCGTCTCTGTAGTGAAAGAGTGGGCCAAGCGCAAGGGAATAAACGACGCGAATCGGTCGACTTTCACGAGTTACTCGTTGGTCTTGATGGTCATCCACTACCTTCAGTGTTGGTTTTTTTTTTCAGAGACTTCTGCCCGAAAAGTTTTGGGAAAACTTGAAAAAAAAAATTTCCGAGTTTAGAGTTATAACTTCATCAAACTGTATTGTTTTTTGAAGTACTGGTAAGAAATTCATTGAAAATTAAAAAGTTTTGCGCTTTAAAGTTAGCTTTTTGCACTATTTAAAAAAATAAGAAAGTTCGTTACTTTTTGTGGCTCATAGAAACGCATTGAAGCTTTTTTTAGAGCAAGAAAAGTTTTTCCAGAAAAAAAAATTGAATTGAAGTAAAATCTGTAAAAGGAATTTCCCCCGATTTCACTGTTCCTCTTTGAAGACGGTGCCGATCCTCCGGTGCTGCCAAACCTGCAGAAGATGTACCCGAACCGGTTCTCGAACAAGTGCGACGTGAGGACCTTGAACGTCACCCTTCCACTGAGCCCGCCCCCGGAGTCCACCGAATGGAAGTTCAACGACTCGGCCACCCTCGGCGAGCTTCTCATCGGTTTCCTCGACTACTACGCCAGCAAGTTCAAGTTCGAAATTGAAGCTTTTGCATCGAAACCCCGAGAAATGTTCAGTTATGACCGTGACGCGATATCGATCCGACAGGGAAGAAGAATCGAGCGAGCGGCGGTGGCGCGACAACGCACCGGTATGTCTTCGTCGTCGATGTCGTCGTCGTCGCTGAGCCACGGAGGCAGCAATATTCCGGCCACGGCCTGGAGAGCCCAGTGGAGATGCGTTTGCATCGAGGTGAGCAGTCAAGGACCTAGAAAATGGACCTATTTGGTCCGAAAGCCTGCGAATAAAACTTCTACACTTCTCGGTATGGGTAGAATTGTTCACCGCATCTAAAATTTCAGATGGAATTGGTCTAGGAAGCCTGGAAGATGAGTTTAAGCTGCTCCAAGTTGGGATATTTTCTGAAAGTTTTAGCTTGTCTTTTAGTGTCTAATGAGAGAAATTTTGTGGTAGAACTGGACGAATTTTATTTTTTTTAAACCAATAGTGTCAGGTATTTTTTCCGAGAATTCATGGTTTCATTTGTTAAAGATGAGTTGAAGACGCGGAAAGCTGAAGTTTTTGTAAACCATCGGACAGTTTCTTTTTGACTTACAATTCACATAAAATTTGGAAATAATAAACTTTTTTGAAGGTTAAACTTGATAATTTTCTAAGATAATGCATATTAAATATTAAAATGAATATCAAAGATTGATTTTCCAGAACTTATTCTTTAAAATATTCACCTTTTTTTAGTTTATATTCAGAGATTCAGGAAAATTTTTTTGTTGATCAGCTTTTGAAATTTCAACAATTTAGGAGCCTTTCACGAACTCCAATACGGCCCATTCTATATACGATGAAATGGTGTTCGGGGCGATAAAAGATGCCTTCCGGGAAGCTCACTCCGAGTTGGAAAGAAACCGGGATCTCAGTCGTCTTCTCGACTGCAAACCGATAAACGTTGCAGCGCCGGTTGGAGGGTTTTCGAAGTCTTTTTGAACTCATCGAAAGTTTCGAATTTCAGAGCCATCGTTTATACGACGAATTACGAGGAGAGAAGTGTCATCACGGCCACGTCGGCTCCTGCACCGCCTCCATCGATCGCCAGTTCGATTCGGAACATGCTCCCGATGGGCATGTTCCAGCAGCACAAGCACAAGCAGCAGGTCCAGCGCAACTTGCCTCATCCGTCCCAACAGCAGCATCTGCCTCAAGCGGTCGCCCAAGCCTTCCACGCGTCCAACGTCGCTCCTCCTCCGCCGCCACCGCCGACCACAGCCAACACAGTCACGACCTCCGCTGTCACGACGGCATCGTTGACTTCATCGGCGGCCACGACACCGTCCGTGTCACCAACCCGACTGCTAGACGACGTCGTTCCTTCTGCGGCTACGAGTGTCGCCGTGCAGATGACGCCTGAAAAGCCCCAGCCAGCCAAGCCGCAGCAGAACGGAAAGACATCCCAAAAGAAGGCCGCGCCTCAGAAGAGCAACACGGCGGTGAATAAGTGAGTTTCCAGTCCGATTTTTATTTTCAAGATGTAAAAAGACAAGCTGCTACTAAACAGAGATTGTTTTCAGTTCACAGTGAGACTTCAGAATGATATTTGGTGTATTATAGCCCATTCCGCTTCAGCGTTTCACCATTTATACAAAATATAGCTACAAAACTCTTCCGGGAAAAATATTTTTGCCAGTTTTAAAACGTCTTTTTTTCGAAGTTCATTTATCGAAACAATTAGCCAGTAATTCCAGGTCAAACAGCTCGGCAAACCATCACGGCGGTCAACAGCAACACAACCCGAACCAGAATTCGTCGCGGAAATCGGCGGCTGGCGGAAAAGACGGCAGCAACAAGGAACGAAAGTAGAAGACTTTGTTTTGGGCTTTTTCATGTCCCTATTTTTTGGAAAATCTTTCTGTAGTCGTTTTTTTTTCTTATTTTCTTCATTACTTTTTCCTTTCTTTTGTCTCATCTTTGTTGCGTTCCGCCTGTTATTCCTCACATTCTATCTTTTTTTAATTCCAATTTTCTTAAAATTGCAAAAATCGCACAAAAAAAATGGTATAATTGCTGTTATTTATACACTGTTTGTTTGAGCCTTTCTTATCCAATTTCGAACCTGTTTGTAACATATTTCCCTTCCGTTTTTATCATATACTCTTATTTGTTGAATTGCCATTCATTCCCCAAAAAAACCACCACCATGATATCTTTCTTGTTTTAATGACTTTTTAAAATGCATTTTAATTTTTTTTTTATTGCTCACAAAATGTTGAACGTAGTTTGGTTACACAAAAGTTGCAACAAAACGACGTTCTTCCAAAAAAAATTACACAAAAATATTATAAAAACTCCCAAAATTAGCTCTTCGTGCCAGTTGTACAAGCTCTCAAGGATTACGGTATCCATCCCTCCTACAGTAATCCACTGACGCTTTTCCACTTGGTTTTGGAGCCCAAAAACATTTCATTTCTTCTTCCTTTTTCCTTCTCTGTAAATGTGTTTGGTTCCTACACATTAAGTATAATTTTCACTTTGTGTATAGAATCTGTTCGAAGGTTTTTTAAAGGAGCCTCAAGTAAAAATGGTCTCGAAGGGAAGAACCTTTAAAGAGTTTTCGAACAGAATGTAGGGCCTTTTTTACACCATATTTGATTATTTTTGGTGTTTCCCTCGTGGAACTGTACCTATTTTCTCTATATTGTTTAAATGCACCCAAAACCCCCAGTGCTGACAAGTTTGTATCTTTGTTTTTCCTTCTTTTTCGGGAACTGTTATAGCCTTTTTTTTCGATTTTAGTAATGGGTAGTCTGGGGGTCCATTTTTTTCCCCTCAAAAATTGTTTTTTGTTTTGGGTCTATCTTAGAAAATCAGTTCTTTCGGATGCCCTCCATCCTCGATCGTTACTTCGATATGGGTCTTCTTAGATCAAAAGTTTGTCTTCTTCGATTGTATAGAACAAGTCCGGTTTTTTCCTCTCGTTGTTTTTCCTCCTGCATTCCTGTGACGGTAAAAAAAACAACCTGGAGCGCTTGGGACCTTTTCTCTCAAGTCCCAAATGCTCTATTCTCTATTCTATTCACTCTTTTGTAGATTCGGCCCCACACCATCTCCCCTTACTTCATCAAAGCCTAGTACGTCCTTAAGGGGAGATGCACTTCTCAACCGTAGTTTTTTTCTAGCTTCATCTTTATGGCTTTTTTCTACGGGTTCCCATCCATATATGCACCACCTTTTCTCGTTTGTTGTAAATTTTTACTTTCTCTCTTTTCGGTGAATAAAGTAAATAAAATATTTAAAACTTTGGTTTTTTTTTTATTCTATCGAAAGTGTGTTGCGCAATTTACGTGACTTTCTGGTCTATTATATATATATATATATATATATATTATATATAATTTCAAACGAACAACGCGTCAATTTCGAAATCGCCGAAGTTCCTTTCAATTTTTGCATTTTTTTCAGGAGAAATAAGAGATCTTGTGTCTTTTTTTGTGTCAAATGTGTCAAAAAGCGAAATAGTGTTCATTAAAAATTTAAGAGCTTTTTTTGCAAAAAAATGGGAAAATTCAGAAATAAAAAAAGTGAACTTTTGTGAAAAAAATAATGGCCATGAATTACGAAAAAAACTGACTTCGAAACTCTTCAATAATGAAAATTGACACATTTATAAACCCCTTCTTAAATTTTGAAAAACTTGGAAAAAAATAGGCGTCATAAAAAGTGACCTGACCTTCCCCATTAACTGAGGATTACACGATGAAAAGACCGCAAAACATTTAAATATTAAAATATAACCTTAAAAAGGAAAAAAAAAGAAATGAGCTTGAAAGGCGTGTAGAAACAAATCGTTGCGTAAAAATGAGCCACAGTAGTAGAAACAAAAAAATTTTTTTATTTTCATTCGTCCACTTTTTCAAGTTAAAAAAAATTCAGAGATTTCATCGATTGAAAAAACGAGTAGAGAATGATAGATTACCTTATCAGGGAGGAAAAAAAGCCTCAGAATAAAGGGAGAAAAAAAGAATTTAAAAACATCTTTTTATTAGCATTAAAGGAGATATGAAAAAGAAGACAGAAGACTTTCAGGGTAAATTTTTTTGGAGTACCCGGCTGTAAAATCAAAAATAAAAAGCATAATAATGAGTTTTTTTAGATGTACATGAAATGAGGAAGCGAAGACAACTTAACCTGAAGAAAAAAATAATATACAAGTTTGGTGATAGTCCAAACCAATTGAATTTTATAGATACAAGAAAAAAAAAAGAAATTTGAATAACAAAGTTTACAATCGAGACATAATAGCTCATAGGAATAATATTAAAAATAATGATAGTTATGAGGAGGATTGGAAGAAGCGAAATACGAAAGGAAAGTCAGGATTTTGACTTGACGGCGACCGTCTCGTTGAGCGTCACGTTGTTCTCGTCTTTCCGGTACAACATCAAGTATTTATGCTCGTCTTAAAAAAATAAATCAGCAATTAATATGTTAACTGAGGATTTTTCAAGGCCGTTCCTACATATCCCCTCTGAGCTTTCGTTCAACCAGCCCATCTTTTATCCCTATTTGTTAAAGTCCTCTTTTCTATAAAAATCGTTACCGATATAGGCGGTCCTGCAGCGAGACTCATCATATAGAAATTCTTGTTTGACACGGTTGTTACGATCTCTTTCGGCGCAAAGGAGTCTGAATTCCGAGTGAAGCTCCTTCGGGATCTCGAAATCTTTCAGGAGGACGTCTATCAGCTCCCGCACTGACATGTCGTTCACCAACTGAAAAAAAAAATTGAAATTCAGTCTTGTTAAAAATTTCTTTCGAAGATATTCAAGTTCGAAGTGCTAGGAAAGTTATCGACATGAAGGTTTTACAGTTTTTGTCAGAAAAATATATTAAGTTATTCACTAAATTTCTTTCTTTTTTTGAAGGTTTTTTTAATAAAGTTTTTCAACCAAAAAGCGCACAATTATTTTTTTGAGAAATCTTGATTTTTTTGGAAAAATTTTTTGCGATTTTTATATTTTATCTTACTTTTTTTCAAAGCTTATCATTTCAACAAATCACATGAAAAATCGAGGATGTTTTTCTTTCTCATGAAAGTTTTCGCTGGCCTTCTGGAAAAGTCGGTCGGTTTGGTCACTTTTTATGATTTTTATTTCCATTTTTTCCAGAGAATGCTCTTACATCTTAATGAACGATATTTTGCACTCGACACTCGACACTTCGATTGCAGGTTGAGTTAAAAAGGTTTACATGAAATTTATCGAAAAAAAAAAAAATCTCCTATTTTGAGCCGCCAATATTTGATTTTTCGAAACCTACAACTTAACCGTAACCGCAATCGAGAATTTTGGACAATCCAACAATTTAGAACTAAAAAAAACTTTAAAATTTTGAAAAAGTCGCCAGGAAAAAAACTCAGCTTCAAAAAGTTCAGGAAGATTGAGCTCTCTAGAGGAGAGTTGTGAACAAAATAATTTTTTTAGTGATTTTTTTCTGACGCGTTTGTACACGAGCAGACCATTTATTAAGCCGCCCAGGATTCTTCCCAAGCCTTCCATAAGTGAAGCCAGTACTCTGAACTTACTTTTATTTTTGGAACTAAAACATATTTTTTGAATTATATTTTTTTTTCTAAAAATGCTCCTAAATCAACCCCATTTTCTGGAACTCGTTGATTTGTACATTGCTCAGAAAACCTTAAACGAGCCTTTTTTTTCAAGGGTATGTTTTTTAAACTAGGAAAAGTAAACAAACATAGACGAGCTTTGGGACGGTGCCCCAAGAGAGGTATCGAACCCGAACCGGCATTGCCATGTCTTTCTCATCGTCGTTTTTAACGTTTGGCATCGTTATGCGCTGGTAAAGCACCTGAAATCAATGAAATTTTTCTCTACCATTGAAAATTCATGAAATTAGAATACGAAATGCAGATAAAGAGGACAAAAATCCCATAAAACTTTGCGTCGGCGCCAAAAACCATGGTATGCAGCTTGGAGCGTGCTCGTAAACTCTTGAAAGCATAAAAAAATTTGAACATTGATCATAGGCTCCGCAGGCTATTACGTTAGCCATAGCAAATTCCAAACCCTACGCTTAAATGACTTTCCACGTTAGGGTATGAGAACCTTAATATTAAAGTCGGCTATGGCGACTTGGAAATTGCGGCTGTCGCAGCAGATTTCAGCCCGGCGGAGAACTTCCTTGTGTTTTCGGTTCGTGATTGTCAACCTAAAAATTTCCCTGATTTTTTACGTCTAACCCTCCAATTTTTTTTAGTTTTTTTCAAAAGTCGAAATGCATTGATAAATTTCTGATAACTCCAAGACGTGTTCAAAGGAAAATTCAGAAAAAAAAAGGCTCAACAATTCCTCTTCTTTCGCTTTTTCTAACATCGAGAAGAAAATAAGTTCGAACCACATGTTTTCCGGGTTTTTGGGCATCCACATGTGCGTCAGACGCCGTCGGACCTGTGCGACGACTTCGTGCATCTGATAGAGCACGGTTGTGTCCTAAAAATGATGAATAAATATATATAAATTTTTCCAATTCTTTGAAGCCCATTAGCTGAGACTTGAAGCATTCTGATTTCTCTCCTCTCAGCGACGATCTAATGTCCACATGCTATTCTGATGTTTCCATAATCTCGCCGATGAGGGAGAAGAGTGCGCAGACAGGCCAGACTATTTAAATTCTGAGCTATATTATTTTCAAACAAGCTGTGAAAATCTAAATTATCTTCAAAACATCATGTTTCCGGAAAGAATGGGAGCCCATGGAATTATCTTTTTGCTGAACATTTTCCCCAACATCTCCAATCACCTTGATCTTATCGCCAATCTGAATCTTTATCTTCGCGACTTTATAATGGTCGAGTCCGTTCGAGCCCTTCTCTACGATGAAAGGGTGCGATAGAGCGCCTTTTGCAGATATTCTGAAACAAAAAATATTCAAAAAACTTCTCAAACTTAAAATCGTCACCTGAAGTTTGGATTCGCTTCTGTGAGAAGAGCTATGAGATCCCTGGCGGCAAAGGAATCGATTTTTTCGTTGAACTGAAACTTTTTCTTGTGATTTTCAAACACTTGTACTATCTTTCGACCTCTGTCAGATCGGCGCCACTCTGCAAAAACTTAGTGCTCAAGACTTCGGCCAGAACGACACCAAATCCATAGCAATCGACCTGTAATAACAGTGCAAACAACAGCTTTAGACGATCTTCAAGATGAGCCAAGTTTTCATGACACGATTGTTTCTGGAAACCTTGGACCCATAATTAGAGTTTCCATCGACTTCGGGCGCCATGTACAAGTCCGTTCCGACTTTGCTGGTCGACGATCCTTGCGTATAGATTCCGAAATCGGCGAGCTGCAAACTCTCATTTCACAAGTTACAGTGAAAACAGGGTCAGAGATAGGCAAAAATAAGTTTTTTGAAATTCAGAAAGAGAACTCCAAAAAAGCGTGCAACGTGGTATTCTGCTTATCTCTGTTCCGCGCCAATTTTTCACGTTCTTCTTTTTTAAAAAGGGAAAAAACAGTAAGCAAAGTTTTTTTTGAGCGATTTCGCGCCTGCGCTTCGAGACCTATTATCCGAAGGCATACGGTATTCAGAAAAAAAACGTGACAAGCTGGCGCGCAATAAACAAAACTGACAATCACAGGTGAGATAAGTTTATCGCCAGTAGAATGGATTAACGGGGAGCCTTAAGTGAGTAAGAAAGCGACTTCATAGTAGATATTGCCTCCAGGGCAAGCTATCAACTTGCAATCAGAACCGCCGCGCGACCGCAACGCGTCGAGCCATTCTACTCACGACTACAGGGGCTCGGGTTTATCTATCTACCTTGTAAACATCCTTCACTCGAAGGATATTTTCCGGTTTGACGTCTCTGTGAACTCCCGACTTTTCGTGTAAATATGTCAGGGCCCGTAGGATGTCTCCGCATAATCTAAAAAAATAAATATATATTACGTCTTGAAAGTTCGTTTTTAGTGTATAACGACTCTGACTGGCTGATAACGCCTGTCTTTTCTGATATTTTCGACTTCCTGGATTTTCTAAGCCTAAAGCTTTATGTAATTCTATTTTATTAAACGTTTAGAACCATCACGAAAAAACTGTGATCTACAGCACTACGACATAAATAACAAACGCGCCCCAGACGTTTCTAAGCTGTTCAAGGGGTCGCTTTAGCAGCGATAGCCCTCTTAGAGAAACGTCCGGATTTCGTTACCAAGGTCCGAGCATTTTCGAGGCATTTTTCATCAAAAAATAAAGAGAAGAGATAAACCAAAATTCAGAAAAAGATACCTAGAAGCGGCTGGAAAGTCAAAAGATATTCCCTGGTTGATCTCATCATAGAGCGAGCAATCGGCAAGTTCGATGATATGAACCAAATCTCTGGCCCAGCAATCTTCTTCCAAGAACTCCAGTATGTTGGGGTGACTGTAAAAAGGAGCGTTTCAAAAAAAAAAGTTATTGTAAGAATCGATTCGATCTAACTTTCTCTCTAATGCCACTCTACAAAAAAAATTTCGAGCAAAGATCCCCGCTTTTAGGAAAAAATTAATTGCAAACATGTCTATATTTACACCTTTTCTAAAAATTTCTCCTAACTTTTAAAATGCTATTTTGTTTTGTTTCAAACTTCCCTAGTCCTACTTTTCTAATAAGAGGTCTTATGGCCCTTAGAAATGTTTTATTTATTGTAAAATGAATAAACTGATGATGATGCTGATGAAAATTTTAAAAATTCGCCTTTTCGAATAGGATCGAACCCAATTTGAAAATATAACCTTTTTTTGAACAGATATTATTCCAATGTTCCACTCAAATCTTCAAAATTAGCCTGAACGATGCTAAATTCATTATAACTATAACACGAACTTCGAAAAGTCTTCTAAACGTATAATTTTCCCAAAATAAGATTTTTAAAAAAAAGTTCCACTTCAAATTCCTCAACAAGACGCTTTCATCCAGAATTTTTCGCATCTCCGTCTCTTTATTGAACACCTGGAAATGGTAACTTTTTACCAAAAAAATATCATTTTAAAAAAACCTTGACAGCATATTCAACGCCGTTCCGCAGATATTCAACCTTGTAGACGTCCGCCTGAGAGCCCTGGAAAATTGATGTTCAAAGAACCTTCAAATGGTTCCAGGGCTGATAAAAAGGCAATATTCTCCCTAATAAAAACAATTTCCCTAAAATGAATAGTCATCCTAACTTTTTAACCATTCCCATTTGCTCCTGATTGGATTTTTCCCTTCCTGAACATAATATCTTTCAAAAGTTTGTCGGTTTTTTTTTAGTCCGTATGACTTTCAATACGTTGTAAAATAACTGCGAGACCTCAAAAATATGAGAAAATGCTCTAAAGTTTGATAAACCTTCTAAAATTTACATTTCGGACCAACTTTTTGGGATGCGCATTTGATCAAAAAGGTTATAAAAATCGCGACAGCATTCAAAACTGTTTCTTTGAAGCAACAGAACTGGTATAGTCCGTCCGCCGCGACTTGACAGTTTTCGAGTGTCTGAGTCTCTCTGTTCCCTCACCGGCGAGGTCACAGAAACGCGAACAGAGCGCGTCAACATGAGAGGGTCGTCGAGAGACGAGGAGGACGCAGAGAAGTCCCGCCCTTTCAAGTCGCAAAAAACGGACTATAGACGTAGTATTTCATCTTCAAAGGGTTCTTTTGAAGAATCAGTTCACTTGAATTCTGTTGAACATAACGCGTATATTAAGCTGATTTTAAAATGTTCATGGAAAAACAATGATCGTCGGGAAGTTCAACTTCCTAAGAAGAATGAGAAAGATGTTCTACGAGCCTTTCCTGGTCAACACAAATGCAACTTTTCATCTACCCCATGATTAAGCAGTAAACTTCTGTAAAGACTGAATGAATTTGGAAACTCAACATATTCTATACTCGTCTTCAATTGTAGTCTGATTACGTCATAGGGTTCATATTTGAAGGTTTTCCTTCTAGAAAGTTTCACATCTTCTCAGTTTTGCTTTATCTTTCTAGAAAATTTTGATTCGCTCTCGATTGTTCTATTGATTCCGGAACGGATCTCTAGAACTTCAGAATATTCCATCTCATACTCTAATCTCAATACTCTCTAGACTCCCCTTTTTTTCTGGTATTCCATAATCTTTGGAATCTCTTCCCTCAGCCCTATATGAACTATTCTAAATAGCCTTGTTTCTTGTTACTCATAAATCTTCTACTATAAGGTCTACCTGTGGGCACATCAAATTCAATGCAAGTTCGGCACAAATTATTGCATGAAACGAACGGATCCAAGTTTGTCGAGCACCCGACATTGCGCGACTTCGACTCTTCTCCGTAACTTGGCCTTAGGCTCCTCTGAAGGTTCGACGGCTTCCGGCTCGAAATTCCTCTTCACCGGCGTGACTTTCAACGGTTCAACGGCTGGTTCCTTCTGGACGGCTTGAATTTTCGGCTTAGCCGTCGGCTTTTTTCCTTTCGGGACTTCTGGGACGGCAAAAGTCACGTTCGCTTCAAAAAATACGTAAACTTTCCTTTTTCTGATTTTTCCTTACCTTTCGCATTATTTTTGGGCGGTTTTAAACACTGCTCCGTTTGGTTAAGTTGTTTTAAGGGGTTTCGCTTTCCTCTAAGCTGAAATCGGGCTTCATTTTTTTTTTTGAAAATTGAAGCTCATGAATAAGATGTAGAGAACTTTTTTTCAATACAAGTTGATGTGGTAATGTTCAACTTGCTAGCTTTGAATCCATTAACGATTTCGAATTTTTGAAACCTACCGTTATGTTAGTAGTAGTAGTATCAGAAGGAGAATCTTCTTCTTCAGCTCCTGAATCGGAATCATCTGGAAATTTCAGAGTTCAGGCATAAAAAACTACCGATGAAAAATAAACAAAGAACATGAAAAATAATTTGCTCTTTTTTATGTCGTAGAATCCAACAGTTTAAAGAAGTTCTTCGGAAACTTAAGTTCAAAAAATTGATTAAAGCTCTCAATAATTCTGTTAATGTCACCCGGTACATCGCCCGCGGCGCTTGTAGAAATTTCAACAGTCTTTTTTTACATCCTTCAAAGTCGCTCATTTTCTATTAAGTAGACTCCAAAAAATCCAAAAAAAGTTCTTCTCTAACTTGAAACTGTTTCGACTTAGTTAAATTATATCAACTCGACTGACTCCACAGAAAGCGCCGATAAGTAACTTCGTGACGGGCCGGCAAGCCTTTGGACTGTTTATACGCCAAAAGTCGCGAATTACTCGTCACGTCTTTCTCCATCAACCATTCTTGCTTTCCGCTACGCCATTTGATCTGCAAGCACAAAATGAATCTAGTATCAGTTTAAAAAAGTAAGCAAATACCGAATTTCACAAAAACTCTTTTCTTGTCGGAATTAGCTTAGAAAACGATGAAAAACAGCAACACGTGCAAAGTTTGTTTCAAACCTCCGCATCTCATTCAATTTTTTCAGGTTGCAACTCTCAATTTTTACCGAGTAAATGTATTTGCACTGTTTCGTCGAGTCTTGAACTTCTTTTGACGGTAGATAATCCAATTTCTTGCGCTTTTCAAAGGCGTCAGCAAATCTGAAATCAAATTGTTACTTACGAAACTTTTGAAGGCTACCGCTTGAAGAAAAACTCCATTAAAAGAAAATATAATGCCTTTTTACCTATTCAAACGCGTAAATGTAAAAGCCGTGATTTATTTTTTTCAATGAAACTGAATTAACAGAAAAAAAACAGCTCTTCGCTTTGAAAAAATCAAGGAGTTTGTCTACAATTGCAAAAGTTGCACGAAAGACAAAAAATGATGGACTTCATGTGGTCGACGATTGTGAAACCCTCCTCAGGGCTTCTCCTGCTTGGTGAGGATTTCCGACTTCGGCGGGTTGCCGGCAAAGTCGCATTCAAACTTTTCCCGCCCTTCTAAAATGACATTAGCTTTAAATATCACGATTTTGGGCAAACTGTTTGCTTTTTTGGAGCAGCTTGTGTTGTATTGAGGTAGTGGGAAGTGATGTCGGCCAGTTTCCCACATTTCCTCGGCGGCATGTCAGAACCTAGACAGGAAAAATAGAAGATTCTTTGAGAACATATAAGCGAAACAAGTCGACGTAACGCAAGAAATACGCGCAGAAAATGAATCGATAATGAGATACATGACAATTTTCAAAGAGAATTTTTAAAAAACGTTTCAAACCAATCAGCATGTCAACATCTTGAACATTCGGCTCGCAAAAAATCCTCCAAGATCATCTGTTTCGCACCTTTTTATCTAATCATCTGAGTACTTGCCTCTGACTTATCTCTAACTACATATCATTATTAAAAAAAAGGTGGTTAATGATCAATAAGGAGCATATCAGGAAACAAAAAAAAATTCTGAAAACAGTACGGAAAAAAATCTACAATTTTGGATGGAATAAAATAATTAGGAGAATTTTATATGTAGACATGTTTGCCACGCCTCGAAATGAGAGATTTCTTCGATCTTTTTTTTTCGAATTTGAAGGTTAAAAAAATTTCCCTATGTGTGTAAATTGAAGAAACATTTAAATGAAGCCACGGAGCATGTCTCGAAACGGAAAACTGTGTTAAGAAAACAAAACAGTTTTTCGAAGGCAGAGTAAATGGTACAACAACAAAAAAATTCACTTTTTCGTTCTTTTAAAAAAATTTCCGTTCAAGTAAGGACCATTGAAAACCGAATATTGCGAGGGAGGACAGAAAAACAGAAACGAAACAGCGGTTACTCCCCCCAAAATGACGGAAAAACAGAAGGCAAGTTGCGAGGTGTGATTTTCCTGAAGGCATTCTTCATTATTAACGACATCTCTTGAAAGAGGATAACTCCCAATAAATCACAGTAACATCACCAGAAGGCCGTATCTCGTTTGAAAGAGGTTCATAAGAAATCTGAAAATGAAGAACTGCAATGGAATCGGAAAAACGGCCGTCTTCTGTTCAGGTCCATTTACAGAGTCCTTGTGAATCGAACTCACGAAGTACAGTAATGGTAGCGAAAAACGAGAAAAAAAAAGGAACGATCAATCAACCGATCACGCTAATGCCGTGTTCAAAGTGATTCCGCGAAATCCAAAACGACCAACAGAGAAAGGAAAAGATAGCTGAATTTCGGATAGTCAGAGATAATTTTACATTTCGCGGAAATTACTTTGAACACGACATAACTTATAAGTAATCATTAAATTTAATGAAAGATTTCCAAAAATGCGAAGCGCGGGCCGATCAAAGAGGAGTAGGTCAAAATGCTTACAACTTCCTAACTTCAGTGATTCATGTACTTTTTTTTTGATATAAAAAAGAAAAAAAAACATGACCCTTATTAGACGTAGTCCAAAAAAACTGAGTGAGAAAGTTCACAACGCAAACAAACTCTTAGGACTTTTTATTTATAACCCTTTTTCGAGACAATTTCGCCCTTTGAGCTAATAATCTTCGATACAAAAAAATCAGAAGAATCTTCATGAAGAGAAAAAGTAAAAAAAATTCTCACCAGCGAATTTTTTTCACCCCCGGTTGAACTTTTGCTGAAACTTGGCTGAAGAGTACTTTACGACCCCCTGATTGCAGATCAAGTAAAAAATGTTTCTCAATAGATCTTGTTTCCGAGTTATGGAGCTTCAAAGTGTGCAAAATACGCAAATTAGGCCAAAAAAGCGCTATTTCGGGCTTTTGAAGTGTCCTAACTCGAAAACGAGATCTAAAAAACGTTCCCTAGCCAGGATTTTCCGTTCTTATTTATATACGGTATTCGACTTTTTTTTTTGCTCCATGTCGAATTTTTTTCTCACTTTTCTTTCTTTTCATTTTTGCTGTGAAAACTATTTTTCGATTACGTCGAACGCTGTATCACGTCTCAAAAAAATTTAAGAAGACTAAAGGAATTTTCAGCCTTTTGGTTTAAATCGAACGAAATTTTTAATTAAAAAAAAGCGTTTTGCAACTGGCACACTCTTCTTTCGCAAACAGCGCACAGATCCGTGGACGTGAGGTTTTACACAGAAATTTTTAAATTTATTTTTACTTCAAGTTCTTTATAGTATTCACTTCATTGTTTACTAGTCGTAGCACTTTTTCCTGCCATTGTTCAAATACAGCATTTTCAGGTTCGATGACCGAATCGAGGACAGAAAGCATGCCGATGGACGAAGGAGAAGTTGTGTACGTTTTTATATGTTTCCTTTAAAAAACACGATATTATATCAAATTCAATGAAAACTTGCAAATATTTCAGAAAAACGAATAATCAGCCGACGGAGAACCGGCCATTCGCTCTGAAACGCTGGAACGCTTTGGCCGTCTGGGCCTGGGACGTCGACTGCGATACTTGCGCCATTTGTCGCGTGCATTTAATGGGTTTGTGTATTTTAAATTCCCATTTACTTTGAAATTTTTTTTAATTACACAACATATTGTTCAGGTTATTGTCGATAAGAAAATGCTCTATGCTTTTGATAACCATTCATACAACTTTTTCCAATAAAATTTCATTTTTAAGAAGTGTAAAACTCAGCAAAAATCGAACTTTAGCGTTTTTGAGAAAACTGCAAACTTTTTCATCAAGAATCAAACAGTTAAAAGACTTCTCAATCCTACCGATTTCTATTTTTTCAACATTATTTCCTCTAGTTTCTTTCTACATTATTCAATAACGTTCCATACATTTCTAAAACTCTCCAAGTTTTTCCGAAATCTTCCTTTCAAGAAGAGACTCGAAGTTTCACTTTATACTATAATTTCTGTAACTTTTATAATCTATTCTAGAATATTCCATAACTTCAGGACTTTTGTCCTATATTTTAAGTGTTATAGCTCCTCGTTAATAATTAATCTTCTACTCTAACCTCTTCACGGGCCAACGCGTTTCATCACCAATTTTTTCAGCCTTGAATATTTTTCCATCGTGTTCTCCAATGGAAAACGGTTTCCAGAAGAATGCCTTCGATGTCAGTCGGAGTCATCGACGGAATGCGTCGTCGTTTGGGGCGACTGCAATCATTCGTTCCACAATTGCTGCATGAGCCAGTGGATCCGTCAGAACAACCGTTGCCCGCTCTGCCAAAAGGTTCTTTTCATTGTTTCATTCGGAAAAATCTGAGCAAATAAAAAAAAAAAAACACTTTTACTAGAAAGTTTCAGCCAATAAACCTACACTGTGCTTTTTGGAACGCAAAACCTTGAAATGTTTTGTTTTTGGAAAAGCTGCTCCTTTTTAAAGATTCTCAATATCTCAGATCCTTTGAAAAATGTTTAGGCGCAGACTTATTCTGCGCCATTTGGCTTTAGGCTGGGTTGTGGAAAAAAAGGGCGTTTCGTTAACTTTTTCTCTTAATCGAATATGTTGTAAAACACAATTTTTAGGATTTGTAAAACACAGTTTTTAGGACACAAAACCGAATATCCTCATTCAGCCAGTTTTCGAGATACGGTAGCTCAAACTATTGCGGTAAAAAGAGAAAAAAAAAACACACAACTTGAACTCAACAAAAATTGAAAAAATTTTCACTGAAAAAAATATTCCCAAATAGTTTGCCAAAAACACCAGTTTTATTGCCAGTAAATGTTTCCTCAGTGTTATTGAAGGCTTAAAAAGGTTAGAAATTTGAATCAGAAAAAAAGATTCCTGAAACTTTTTTTATGATGCTAGTGAGTGATTTTTCCAGAAAGGTACATAATTTGGGAATATTTTTATCAGTGAAAAATTTTTCGATAGATTGAATTTTCGATTTTTTGTTCAGTTCAGGTTGATTAAATTTTGAGAAACTGCGGGGGAAACCCAAATCCTTTTGTTTTTTGGCTCCCCCAAGATGGCGACTGGGGTTTATATTGCAACAGCGTTGAGTTTTAGTTCAAAGATTCTTTCAACACTAAGAAAAAAAGTTGTGTTCAAAACTCAGCTTTACTAAAAAAATCATTTAGAAAAATTCGCGTTTTTCTAAAGGTTGACTCTCTTTGGTTTAAAAATATCTGAAAAATTGTTAAAACAGAACATTCAAACTTGAAATTTTATTGAAACAATCATTTTTTTCTTCTAGAACTGGGTCGTTCAGCGGATCGGAAAGTAATTCAGTTCATTTCACTTGAAAATAAACTTTTCCGGGTATTGTTCACTTTTTCCGCAATCTCGACTTCTGTGTATTTATTGAAAGAATTTGGAATAAAAAAAATTTTTTTTTGTTTATTTGGTTTTTCATCGAGTGCAAAATAAAACATCAAGTTGAGGTGTTCAGCCTTGAGTCCCTGATTCCTAGGAGATAAAATCGCTACAATTCAAACATCAAATTGCGAAATTACACGGTGAAAGGTGTAATTTTAACTTTATATAGGCGGAAAATCGAAGGAAAAAGCTAGTTTTTTTCAAATCTTTTTTATTCAGTTATTATTTTTATATTTTTTTGAAAAAAATATTGTCAGAGCACAAGTTTTTTTGATATATTTTTTTGACGTTAAATCGATTTTTTCTACGTTTAATTTAGCCTCCAGCTTGTCCCGAAACTTCAAGAATTGGGTCATGACACGACCAGCCAAATATTATGGAAAAATAAGTCAGTTGGCAATAGAAATTATTTTTTCAACGTTTTCATTTACCGGTGCCTTGAGACAACGTTCAAGAATGGTCTTTAAAAGATGAGCAAAACAGTGTGCAAAAACGAGAGATTCAGACGTCTCTACAGTAAAACTTATTCTAAGCGAGCTGTAATTATAGTACAAGGCCTCAGGTATTTTTTCTTATCTCAAAAAGAAGCTCGGAAAAAAGTCCGACGTCACGATGCGTCAGCGGAATTTCAAATCCCACCAACTTTTATCTTGATCGGATCGCTAATGGATGTCTCTTCGCCGTTTCTTCTCAATTCAAACTCGCTTCATGCATCTTCTCCCTGATTTCCTACCCCTTTCCGCTCCAATTTCAACTCATTTTTTCGACGGATCATCTAAATTACTCTTCCCACCGCTATCTTGTCTTTTTCGAAGAGGGAATAGTTTATTTTAAGGCTTTTTGTAGCCTTGCAATGAAAAATTGCAATTTTGTACTGAGAAAAATTCTAGTGGCCACTTGAGAGCTACCTCAAGGACTCCTTGGAGAGGACACAAAAATGATCACTGAAAGAACCTCCATAGAAACCACTATAGTTGTTGTTAATGCACTAGTTTTAATTTTTAATGGTCTAGCACTTCGACTTCTAAAAAAGGCCACTAAAATTCTTTCCGCAACAAGAAAAGCTAGTGGAAAGCGTTATCAGCATTTCAATCAACTAGAAATGTGGAATTTATTTTTCCAATTTCATTTCAATACCAATAAGGACCTCATCGTGATGTCTAAGAGTTTGTTTTTAATGATATCCCGGAAACTATTTCAAATAAAATATCATAGGCCAAGAAGAAAATGAAACTGATATCTATTTTCGAATGCCTCAGAGTTAAAATGACATTTTAAATGTTTTCCTCGAAATGGAAGAAAAAGTCTATTTCTCAACTTCTTGGATCCGTATAGAACTATTCTCAATTCAAAATAACTCCTGAGCTTGTTTAAAAAATCACCACCGCCACAAGAACTTGCATCTTACTATAGCTTAGTTTCAGGACCGTTTTATTTGAAAACTTAACTTCTTATTCAAATTTTCAGCTGGCAGATAAAGTTACCATGCGAGGTCATTTTTTAAAGGGTTACCTTGGTAAAAAAAAAAACAAAGACCTTTGAAAAACGCCTTCAAAACTTCAAAATCCTCAGAACCACACCATTCCTCTCAAAAATTCTATACTTTACCCTTGCAAACAGGGAAACGAACGGCGGAAAAGAATAAAAACTATATCAATGCCATGTACAGGGGCGGGTAAACAGCCCGAAACCGTCTTAAGAAAGATACCGACGTCGTGTTTTTCTTCACGTTTTTCCCCTTTGGCGATTTGTAAATTCTTCGTCGTTTGCGCAAATATATTTTTTTGTTTTCATTAACTTGACGTCATTAATTGCTAAAGTTTCACGAGTTTTCAAACTTGAAGAGAAGAACAACGGCGCCTCTCGACTTATCAGCGTCTCGAAAATGCTCACATTTGTCCAGTTCAAAAGGTCAGTTCCTTTATTCATAATCTTTACTAGTAATTTGGAAAAAGACGGAGAAAAATTGAGCAAACTGCTTGAAGAAATCGATTAAATGAGAACTCATAAAATAGGAAGAACATAAACACAAGGAAAAATTCTATCTCTGAAAGTTTTCAAAGATTTAATTTAGATATCTGAATTTTATAGAAGGCTACATATCCTCAAAATATGTTATTTTAAACTGAAAAAATTTGGATTTAATCTGTTGTCACAACTTTTTCTCTAACAATTTCAAATAATTACCCAATATAACTTCAAGATCATTATCCTCTTGTTCTCAAAGTCGGATTTTTTTTTCCGGCAAACTAGAACCAGCTGTCAAGTACATCGAAAAATGCCTTGCCCTTTCTGCTTGATGAACATTGCTCACGAGATGAAAAAAATTCAATAACTTTCCCAGCTTACATCTCACGCTATCGCTTTTTTTTTTTACTTGTTGTAACCTAAAAACCTAATCCGCACTCTACAGACCACCGAGAACATAAGAAATAATCTCAAAAAAAACTTCAAAAAAAAAAAGTTACTAACCATTTTATTATTAGCTTGAGACTCGGCTTCATCTCATATTCTCATGCAAGCCAAAGCATATGCCCTTTGAAAGCCTCCGAAAATGCCACCAGACTTAGAAACAAGGGATAACATAAGTTTTTTTTAAAGTGAAGAACTGCTTTCAAACAAAATTTTGTTCCCCTTTCAAACTGAACGTTTCCCCCTTTTCTTACTTTTTTTGGACTTTTTGGACCCCCACACTGTTCCAAAGGATCCATCCGAATAATTCGGAAAGTTCCCGACAGTTTAAATATCAAAGGGTCCGTTAAACCCCTCATTGGAAATGCGAATTTCGCGTCGGCCGCCCGTGAATCATTTCCATTCATTTCGTCTCCCGTTGACATTTTCCGAGTTCATTCACTCATTTTTTTTCCCAGCTTCTCCTGTCTCGCCAGATCTTACTCAAGTTTTGAGAAAAAAAAATGAGCACATTCACAAAATATGTGTATCAATCACAGAGAATATGCGTAACTGAGCAAATATGAAGCGACGAAAGTTTTCTTTTTTTTTTGTCCTTGGCTTGACCTTATTTCCTTTTTTGCTTTATTGTTTCGAGTAGTTAATTATAAGAGTCAACTTTTCCGGAAAGTCCGCAGTTCTTTTAAAAGTAATAAGAAAGAATACATTTCGGATCAACAGAAAATTTTGTTTCTTTTTTTTTCAACGTCCACTTTTTTTCGAGAACCTTTTTGAGAGAATTTTTTTCAAAGGTTTTTTACGTTTTACGTTTTTCAGATCTTTACGAGTAGATCATATTGCTGCTGCGTTTTCTTAAAAAAAAAAAACGAAAAAATTGAAAAATGTGTTTGAATTTCCTGAAAGCCCCCCCAAAAAAAACTGAATTCTTCTCCTTCACATCCTTCCTCTTATTATCGTTAACTTATTAGCTTTATTATTCCTTTTCCATTTTTTCCAGCAACTCCTCCTCAGCTGGCCAATGTTTTGAAAACAAAGACGCCCACGCAATTCAAAACACCCTTAAAAAGCCTCGAAGCCTTGATGCTCCATTGGAGAAGAAGAAAATGAACGAGGACGCTTCGAAACCACGTCTTCTGCTTCTTCGAGTGCGATCCGTACTCGTCCGACGGAGCTCGGAGACGTCGCAGAAGCTCTCCAAACTTCATCGGAGTTTCAGCGCCAAGGTGACGAACAATGAACGACGTCGGATGACGTCATCCAGCTCCAGAAGCTGCACGTCGGCTAGTTCAAGGTAAATAGGCGGAAAGGACTTTAGGCTTTCAAACAACTTCTCGGTACTTGAAACTTTCTTCGCACTCTTGCGTTTTCCCTGCTATTTTATGCTTTTATGACCTCGCCGGTGAGGAACTAGAGAGTGCAGACAGGTTAGACTGTTTCAAGTCATTTTATTCATTTTTATTATGAAATCCGCGACCGGTAAAACGCAAAAATTTACTTTCAACGTCTCCTTAGTCAGAATCAAATTTATTTTTTTTTTGAAGTTAACTACTCTTGCTTGACTCCGCCCATAAAAAAAGTCTTCCAAACCACTTTGACCATCTTGAAATTATTTTAACTTTCTAATAACACGTTTCTTCCCTTTCTTGATGTTGACCCTTTCAACTCGTACAAAAAGATGAAAAGTTTCAAAGGGTGTGTGGATAAATAATTACGCTCCCGGAACTACAATCAATTGTAAGTTCGGAATTGTTTCATGACTATGCAGTCTAATTGCTTTTGCCATGGTCAATAAAAACCCAAAATTTAGAAGGTTTTTTTTAAAAATCATACTAGTTCAAAAAAAAAACTGTCCCTATCGACCAATTGTTTTATATACTTCTGTAACCTGAAAACTCACAACCTCTCCATTATCAACTTGTCCAATTAAGGCTCAGTTTCCCAAATCTCGCTCTGAAGAAACTTTCAAAGCAGCTGCTAAAAAATTAATCAGCCAATCAGAAAAAAATGTCCGTTAGGTCGAACATTAACGTTCTTAAAAATTGCTAATGATCACACTATATACTACACTAGACCTTATCTCTCACGATCACCCAAATCGGAGTCTAGTGACTTTCTCAGACGGAAATATCTGTTTGGTCCCGCTGATCAAGTCAGTGATTGATAAAATTGGCTCGGGCGAAAAACGGCCTTCATGTCAATACATATATGTTATCAGCGGCTGATAAGGAAATATTATTCAGTCGCCCGGCGCTTTCCACCTCATCGCCTCTATTATCAGTGCGGCCTTCTGTTGTACAAACTGAGAAACGGCCGAGGCTCGTCCGGATGGGCTCAGTTCTGCCGATGAGCTCCGCGGAGCAAGACAGCTTGGAGCAACTGCCGAATCGGCCGTCGGAACTCGGCGGCGAGCAGATTCTCGAGAATCGCGCCTTTTCGGCGCTGTCGCCAGAGTCAAAGTGAGTGTTTGGGTGAAGATTTTTTTAAACAGTATGAAATATAAATTTTGCTTGCAAAAGTTCTTTCAAACTGGAGTTTATATTCACTGGCACTTGCCGGAGCGTTCTAAAAAGCATGGAAGTTTTTTTCAAAAAAAATTTTTTTTTTCTGTTCATGAATTTTCGTTAATGATGCTTTTTGGATGAATTCCTCTACCGATAAATAATGACGTCATCCGTCTGAGATGACGTCATGATAATCAGTTGAAGGGGCAACTTTCCCGAACATTTCCGGTCCGGGATTTGTTTGTCCTTGCGGCCATTTTTTTTTTCTTCCGAACATCTCGCCACCTTTCTTTTTCTTTCCATTCAGAGCGTTTTTGCTCTCTTTTTTAATATTTTAAACCTACTTTTCAATTCCGGATTAGCGATACCCTTTGAAGTATTTTTGAAATTCCATATGATCTTAATTATTTTATTTTGTTCCACGTTCTATTATCGATTATAAAAGAATAACTAAAAATATCAAAAAAGAAGTTTTAAAACAGAAAATGGTGCAAACTTTTGACTCAACTATTTTTGAGTGAGAAAAGAGGTTCAAAAAAAGTGACGTGAGTGAGTCAGGTGAGTCTCCAGTGAGCAAAAAAAGTGGGCGGAGCGAGAGCCCGTTTGAAAAACAACAAACAAATAAACAACAAAAAAGCGGAATTTTTACACTGCCTCGGGCGGTTTCGAACTCATTTTTTCGTTGAATATTCCAAAATATCATATATTCAGATTAAAACTTTGTTTTTTAATGTTCCGCAAGTTCAGCTGAAAACTTTCCGCTTCAAATTTTTGTCTATTTTTATACTGTTTTTGTGAAAATCTCAGTTAACGTCCGTCCATTTTTTTCCTGAAGTGAGTTAGTCTCCATGTTAAGCGAACCTGGAACTTAATATTTGGATATATTTCTTATCAAGACCAATAATCTCGAATTCAATTTACACCACTCTCTCAATTTCCTCAATCCTCTTTCGAAATGACTTATTCCCTTAATGAAATATAACTCCCACATATGACTCAATAAACTTTGATCATTAACAAAATAAAAAAAGCTTCAAAACATACCTTATCGCAAAAGTTCGAAAACAGAAACATTCGATCGCGTCGTTTCGATTCCCGTTCCATTCTTTTTTACGTCTTTCGTTTTTGAAGATATGCATATCGGCGATGAAATTGACAAGTTTCGGCGTCGGAAATCGTTCCGGCTCTTGTTAATTAAAAGATTCCTGAAAAGTCTGAGGTAAAACTGTAGAGAACTGTTTGATATTGAACAATTTTAATTTAAAAAAAAGGACATATTCGGATACGGGGCGCCTAAAGATCGCCACAAAGCTTTCTCTGACCTACAATATTTCGTCGTTTGCTTGCAGCTAGATAACGACGAAATAGGGTATGTCAGACAAAAAGTTGTGGCAATCTTTAGGCGCCTTCTGTCAGAGTGATTGATAAATTTGGTGTATACATAGAAGATAATGTCCCTGAAAATTGAAAAAAAAAAGTCAAACATCTTGTAGATGAATTGCGTTTTTTTGAGTGTTCCAAAAGAATACTTAATTCAATTTATAACTTGTCTTGCTTCGATTCACGGTATGATTTTCCTAAAAATAAAAATCTCTTTGTTGAAATATCAAAATTCGGAAAAAATACCATTGAGAAACGAAAGTTGTCTAGCAATTGAAAATATTGATAATTAGCCTCCAATTTGTCAATTTCCTTGATTTGAAGCATATTCGCTTGTTTTTGAGACATTTTCATTTGCAAATAAAAGTTTGAAACAAAAACTGACCAACAAAATTTGTATAAAACTGAAAATTATCTTCGAAATGCGCTCAAAATAGCACATTCCTCCAATTTAAAGGCATTTTCAATTGACTTAAAGTGTGTAACGTTACCACTGTCGGAAAATAAAAAGCAAGAAACAAAAATAGCAGAAAAAAGATGAGTGCGCAAAGAAGCTTTTTCTGACGCCTCTCCCTTTTTGGTACACTCTCGCTTCCCCATGGGGCAAATCTCAACCAAATTCATTAATTTTTCTTCATTTTCTTTGGTCTCTCTTTCATTTCCAAAATTTCAGGTCCAGTTCGATAGAAAGGCTTTCCTGCAACGACGAGGACTTTCTCGATAATGGACGGTTTTGTTTTCAAAAATTCAAGATGGAAAATTCAAATTTCAGTAGACAACTCAACGAAGAGAGACGGAAACAGAGCAAAAAAGCAAAGTATTTCGCTCCAAGGCATGATAAGAACATTTTCAAGGTTTTTTCTTGTATTTTCTTTTGACTTTTCTTAAGTATTCTTAATTTCTATTCAGAAAATGCTGCACCCAAGTTATCACGACAGGAATCGACACTTCAAAAAGATATTCGTACAGAAAGGACGCGTCGAGGAGACGGATACTTTTTTGGCTTGTAAGTTCCTTTCAAATGTTTGGAACATTTCAAGGCGATTTCAGCCTATTCATGTGCGCTCCAGCGAGATATCCTCTGCCAAGGACGGATGTACATTTCACAGCGATCCGTGTGTTTTTATTCGAACATTTTCGGCTTCGAATCGGTTCTCACGGTTCCGATGACCGACGTTTTGGCTATCACCAAGCAAAAAGCTGCCAAAATCTTCCCCAACTCCATTCAGGTACAACTAGAGGCCACTTGAGGAGTTTAAAATTGCAGTATGGCTGAAAAAATTTCAAACCAGCGTTCTGAAAAACATAGCTCGAAAATGAAAAAGCCGCAATACGCTTGAAAAATGTGCTCCGTGGCTAATTGGAAACAAAAGATTTTGCAGTATCTTTCCTACCAGTTTCTTTTAAACTAAGAAGCTTTATTTCTGAGTTTCGAAAGGTGTTTCAGGGCAAAATTTTCAAATCGTTCAAAAGCTCCATTTTTTTTTTGAACTTTGATGTCTTTTAAGCCTTATCAGGTAATATTGATGTGGTTACAATTTTTCATTTACAGATCAACAAAGCTCAACGATAGATCAAAAATTTCATAAAATTCATATGAATTAAGATTGAACGGAAGTCCGGAGGGAAGCATTTTTTCGCGTCTTTTGTCAACCGGGACAAATCTCTCAACGTTCTTCAGACGGTTTTTGACCGCGTTAATACAGGAAATGTTGGTTTTTTTTTAAATCATGGTCGCACGTGGAATGGCTTAACTATTGCATGAAAGTTTACCCGGACTTGAAACGAGTTGCGCGAGAATGCATCGAAAAGCGCGACGCTCTGAGCCATTCTAGGTGCGGCCAAGTCCATTCCAAGACGGTTTTCGCTGTCCTCGCTATCAATTCCGCTCCGCTTTGCTTTCTTATCAGTGAACTATGCGGAAATTATTATGTGGTATAGTTTTGCCTCGCGTGATCTTGTTTAACGATATTTTTTATCTTCTTTTTTTGGTTGAGGCAGTGTTGAAATATTTGAGTGATAAGGAAGATCATTGAAATTTTATGATTTTTGCTATTCTTCAAACTCGATTCACTGATAGGCTGTGGTAATAAAATCGTAGGTTTCTGTGAGGTCTCTTTCTTTTATACATTATTACTCGGCGTTTTTAATTTCCACTCGATTTTCGATCAAATAGAAGACATATCTCTTTAGAAATGTTTCGAAACAAAATGTTCCATCCCAAAAACTTCAACATTTGAGAACCCCTCGAATATTCAAATTTCAATATTGCTGTAAATCATGCAAGAAAAGTGTCAAAAGGCATTCTAGCGGCGAAATCAACCAAAAAATTCTTCACACAAACACATTGAGGCGATAAAAACGGAATGGCTTTTTTTCCCATCGTTCAATTTGCGTATTTCATTTTTCAGCCCATTTCGCCGGAAGAATTGTGGGAGAAGATGAATATCGATTCCGATAAGGTTCGTTTTCTATTCTTATCGAAAAAAATAATTGTTTTTTCCGTTCTTAAAAATCTTTCGGGTTATTCCTACGAACCCGCACAAATTTCAAATTAATTTCCCTACAGTGATCACACTATCCATTCCCAGACCCTGATCTCTATTATTTTTTTCTTCTTTTTCTGCTTTTGATCTATATTATTACTTTCTTATTTTTTTTTTCATCTATATTATTTTTTCTTCTGCTCAAAGTCAACAAAACTGACGTGATCACCGTCGTTTCACGTTGTTTGCGCGACTTTTTTTCTGCTAAAGATTTCTGTTTTTATTTATTTATTCATTTTCCCTGCTTCTGGAAGGTCCATTCTTCTTTTCGGAAAGCCATTTTTCTGATTATTTCGTTTTTTTATTAATTTTTATATAGTTATTTAAATAGGCATTTAGAATATCACCAAATTAGTGGCCACTAGAGTTTTTTTCAGAAGATTTCAAGTTTTTTTGAGAGGTACCGGACAGATTTTTCTCTCAACAGATTTTTTTCCAAAGTAAAAAAATTTTACTAATCTAATTCTCAAAAATTTCACAGAAAGACCACTTTAGTGAAAACGTGTCTTAAATGACGACTATTATCCTCCTTCAAGTGCCCCCTGGACCTTTTATCGGTAGTCTTAGAGCGTGAAAGCCAGTGAATAATTACACCGATAGTACTCGAGGGTCCGAACACGAATTAGCGGGCTCGCAGAGCAACTCCTCTCCTTTCCGCTCCAAACGGAATTTCGATTTTTCCTTCCTTCCTGCCCTAGAAACCTGCGCTTCTACGATGTTTCAAGAAAGTTTTTGTTGAATTTTGTGGGCGAAGTTGTTTTGAGACAAAAAAAAACTTATGGTTATTTCACTTTTCTTTTGAAAATTTGTACAGGAATTATGATATTTTGTTTCAGAAACTTTTTGGAATTTTCCAGAGATTTCTAATCTTAGATGAGAAAAACTGTTTTCTTTTTTTCAATTTTTTTCAATTGAAATATCAATTTTCTAATCACCGAAAAAAATTCAATGAATCAGTTCTAAATAAATTAAAAAGAGTCTAAACTGAAAAGGTCCAAAATTGACGAACGAGCGCCGATTCAAGAGGAAAAAAGCCATTTTCTGAAACTTCTGGTTTATCTTCAATACACCTTCAGATTCCTACGAAATTTCATAGAGTACTGGAAAATCTTTTTCTATACTTCCTATTTCCTTAAACGTTCCAGAACCCCTCTTCTTGTAGAATACCTCGAAATATATTCAAAATTTCTTTTTTTTTTCTCTGTTTTGAGCTGAGATGTTCGTGCTGGCGGGTGCCACTTCCACTTGTTTTGATCAACTTCGATTTTTTTGAAAAATATCGAAGTGTTATTCAATGGACTTTGATGAGGATGGAACTTCAAAATTCCAAACTTAAATGAGTCAAAAATGAGAAATAAAGATTGAGAAGAAGGAGGATAATGATAATATATCAACTAAAATCAGTATTTGAAGCTTCAAAAGTGATTCCAAAATGATCCGAAATAGCCTATTTCAACGACTTTGAGGTTTAATTCTCAAAAACTAGAAAACTTAACAGGTTGCGATTATCAGAACCTGGAACATAAAAGAGTTTCCTCGCCGATTTTTCCATGAACTCCCGAGAGCGAAGTAAAATGACTTTCCTCGTTGAAAAACCTAACATTTTTCCGGTTGCGCTTCAATGATTCTCTTTTTTTCTGCTTTTTCCTCGTCCGGTCCGTTCTATTTGTTCCTTTTCTTCTCCTCCTCGCTCGAAGATGCGCAGGCCCCTCATTTTTCAAGCCGACTTGCCGCTCCGTATTTTAGCGCCGATTCGAGTCGGTCCAATTCAATTGGCGACATTTTTTGACCTATTTCTTACTGGTTTTGCGGTTAAAAGGCTCTCGGCCAAGCGTCGCGGCTATTTTCATCCATTTTGAAGATAATCATTCGAGATTTATGCTCAAAATTGACTTTTACTGAGGTTGTTGTTTACTTCAGCCGAGTCACAGTTTTTATTTTGGCGACTCGCCTATTTTTTTGTCCTCGTCCATTAGCTAGCCGATCAGCTTTTTCCTTTGTCCCCCCCGGCTCAGCCACATATATTCATTTTTTTGTGTTTATTTTTTTTCGGTTCCGCCTACTTTTTAACCATGTCGCTGAGAATCAAAGTATGGCTCTTTTCCAAGGCTCCGCCCACTTTCTAGCTCTTTGTTTCTCCTCTTATCAAATCTGCATAATACATTTAATTTAATTAAACCGTCTTAGCCAGAAACTTCTTTTTTGCGACTCGGCTAATTTCTCGAGCTCCACCCAATTTCCAAAACCATTCCAAAAGCGTTTGCGCACATATTGACCCAACGACTTTGGACAGTGGTCCGTTTGGATTCTTTCTTACGGCAAAAAATGACCTTTTCCTTTTTAGGAGCTATTTTTAGTCATACTTGAGGATTTTTCCGAATTTAGTCCATTTCTTATATGGACTTCACCCTTTCAATAAATAAAATAATATTTCAGGGTTCATCCTCGAACGCTCCGCCAACACCGATGGTCGACAGCCCAATGTAAATTTCTTTTCATTAACTTTAAAAAATGACGTCAAATGTACGCATTTTCGAGATTTGAAATGACTTGACGTTGAAAATAAGTTCATTCCTTCAGCACGCCAACAACGCCGAGCGACGTGAGAATGAACGTTGATCAGAAGCGTCCTTCGGACACTTCTCTTGAAGCGGTTCGTCTTTGGAAATTAATTGAGCTATATTCGAGTGCGTTGTGAGCATTTCTCATAGTCAGAAGGTGGCTGGTTCAAGTCCTGTGAGTGCAATTTTATTGCGGAAAATGTACATTATGAAGAAAAATCCCTTTATCTTTGATGCTATGCCAAAGATATGCGTTCTATTATATTAAAATTAATATCCTCGAAGCTTCAACCTGTACAAAATCCTAACTCAAAAAATAGCGTTTGAACTTTTTGGTTATCTGCATAAAGTCGAGGCGACCTTCAAAGCTTCGATTCTCGAAAAATAGAAACTTGACAATTTCAGGTTTATTATCCATTACACCACAGGATAATTTGAACCAGTAACAAAGTTTTTTGAAGTATGATCGCCAATACTTTCTCAATAAGGCAAAATATAGTTCTGGAAAAGAAACGCTTGAACTTTCGATGCTTCCAGGACGACGATGAAGAAGTTACATGTCCTTGCGGCGATCATGAAGGTCGACTCGTCCTGGACAGTGTCTTTCCGATGAATATCAAAAGACTTCGAGACCTCATCTTCACAAACAGCGATTTCTTCGCCAAGTTCAACGAAGAAGCCAAGACGACGGGCTACGCTTCGTCGGAATGGACTTTCGACAAGGACGGCGTCCAGTCGAGGAGCGTCACCTACACAGTCGCAATCAATCAGCCGATGGCCAAGCAAGTCTTGGCCAATGAAAGACAGGCAGGGTTTCAAATACAACTTCAAGCTTTGGAAAGGCGTTTTCGCCGATCATAGAGTTGGAATTTTGGAGTTGTGCCCGCCTTTTCGGCTTAGTCAGCTGCGAGAGACAACCGGAATCAGATGGAACGTTAAAGAAAAAACTAGGATAAGTAGTGAGGTTTTTGAATTTTCCCCTACGTTGCCAGTTTGTTCGGAGTGATCGTGAAAATCTTCATCTGTTAGTTTCATTCTCCTTCCGAAGTGTCTTAGACAAAGTAAAGTATAGAGTGGCGTTCAAGTCGTGGAATGTCGGGCGCACGATTTGAATAAACACAATCAATCAAGAAATTGCTTTTCAGATCATCAACTACCTCCCCAAGCCTCTCGACGGCTTCATCGTCACAAAAGAGTGCCAAAACTCAGGTGTTCCCTACGCTGAGAACTTCGTTGTCAATGTAAAATTGATTTTCGAGAAATTGAAGATAACAAATTATTGGAATTACAGTGTACTTACTGTATCACAAGAGTTGGACGGAATCAATGTCGCCTCAAGGTTCATGGCGGCGTCGTTTTCAAAAAACACACGTTCTTCGTCATGCGGGGTTCGTTTCTGCTCATGAAATTTAGAGAAATAGTGAAATGTGGGATTTTAAAAGCTTAAAGGCGCTAAAGGTTACTGGAAAAAAATTTTTTCTTTGAGTAGGCACTTAAGAGGTGTTTGCCTCTTTTGAGGGATCACTTGAGTCAAAAACAGTACTGGTTCCGTCAGAGTCCTTTATGTCACGATTGAACTTAAAAAATCATGAGAACTAGAGTTCACCAAACCGATCGTTCGACCAAACGTTCAACCAATATTTTCATGACATGTTACCAAAAATATGATTGATTAACATTTCTTGCTACCGAACGATTAACATGTCTCATGATTATGATCTCTCGTTTTTTCGACATGTCAACATTTCATTTAAATGAGAGATCATTTTGAATCGATCGTTCAGTTTTCGATTGATCGAAATGTTGTATTGAAAATATTGGTCGAAAAAATGATTGATCGAAATGTTGTATTGAAAATATTGGTCGAAAAAATGATTGATCGAAATGTTGTATTGAAAATATTGGTCGAAATAATGATTGATCGAAATTTTATGCCTAAAATATTGGTCGAAAAAATGATAGATCAAAATTTTGTATTGAAAATTTTGTCAAAAAAAATGATTGATCGAAATTTTTTATTGGAAATTTGGTCGAAAAAAATGATTGATCGAAATGAATTTTTTTGTTAAAAAGTATGTTTAAAAACTACTGTTTAAAAAAACCGCTTCTCTTTCAAATGTTCATCATAATTTCTTTTTTTGATTTTTTTCGTAAAGAAATATCATCATCTTTTTTTCTGTTTCTCTGTGTTCACTGGTCCTAAAAAGCAAAAAAATTTCTACAATGCCATATAGACTATAACAAATAAGTTAAAGAAAAAAATGCAAAACTTTAATTTGTCGGAAAAAAATTAAATATTTTTCACCTTTTTCACTAGTACTCCGAAAAACCTGCCCCGTGTGAGCGATCTGTTTTTGAAAATCGATCGCTCGGAATTTCGATCGATCAAAATTTTTATACTCAAAATATTGGTCAAAAAAATGATTGATCGAAATGTTGTTTTTGAAAAATATTGGTTGAAAAAAAATGATCGATCGAAATGTTGTATTGAAAATATTGGTCGAAAAAATGATTGATCGAAATGTTGTTTTGAAAATATTGGTCGAAAAAATGATTGATCGAAATGTTGTTTTGAAAATATTGGTCGAAAAAATGATTGATCGAAATGTTGTATTGAAAATATTGGTCGAAAAAATGATCGATCGAAGTGTTGTATTGAATATATTGGTCGAAATATCGATATATCAAACGTTAAAAATCCAATGATTGATCATTAATGGAAGAGATCAAAAAAACTGATCTAATAAACGATCTCTCAAAAAATGACATGTTAAAATTTGGTTGAACAGTGACATGTCAATAGTTTGATCAATTGAAATGGTTGAATGATCGGTTTGGTGAACTCTAATGAGAACCCATGCATACAAATGCGCTTTAGGCTTCATCGAGAAGAGCACCTATCAAGGGCTCGAAGAACACTACCACCTGTTGGAGACGATGCTCCGCGAGCTGCGGCCCAGCGAAGACCTGACGTCTCCGGGCGACGGAGACACCGCCAGCAACGGTTCCGCCGCGATCGAAGACCCATCACCGATGGAGCAAGGAACCGCAACCGTGCAGACCACGCCCAAGACGTCTAGACAGACGACGTCGGCTCGTTCTCCCGCGTCCAAAGTTGCCCAGCCCGACTACCGACGGCAGATGACCATCATCATCGTCTTGTTGGCGCTCCTGCTCTTTTTCAACTTCGCCTTTGTGGTCTACCTCACGACGACCTCCCACAGCAGGTATTAACCCGATCTTAAAAGTCTCAACTGGCGAAATTCTTCAGGAGCCTGAGCTTCTACAGTGACATGGTCAAAAGTTTGTCCGAGACGGTGAACGAGCTTGCCAGCAAAGTCGAAGTCGTTCAGAACAACGTAAACGCCATTCATGTACCGAGAACCGAACTTTGAAATAACACAGATTTTTTTGAAACCTCCCTTGAATCGATTTTGATTCTTATACTTCTCTAATTGGATGGAATTCTTTTGAGAATTTTCTGAAAATTGACGAGAAAAAAGTCTCAACCTGTAATTCCTACTTTCCATTCAAAAAAATTGCTCAAAGCCAAAAACGGTTTTCTGTAAGGGAATTTTTCTCAGAAAAAGGAAGTTATAGAGGCTGAAGTTTATAGAATCTTTACTTGGTACATCGAGAAGTATTCTGGTCAAGTTTCAGAATTTCTTCCAAAATCTTTCCTTGTAAGTCTCGAACGGTTCTTACAAGTAGTGTTAGATTAAATACTCTCTAGGGACCATTTCGATATACTTCCGCGTGATACTTACACTTCACTTATTCTCAAAATATCACATTTTACTCACAAACCGATTAATACATGATCTCATCCTTCTTTTAGGCCGGTTCGCCTTGATTCCGTTTTCTCCGTCCCTTCTTCGCCTATTTCTTTCCCCCCTGTATTTATTCATTTTTTGTCATTTTTTGATCAATCCTTGTCTATATATCATTCAATAATATTATATGGGTATTCGAAATTGTAAAATTCTTCTTAGAACGCTTTTTTTCCATAAATAATTTGAAATCGACGAGGATTTTTGTGGGAGTTCCCAGAAAAACAAAAAGTTGGATAGTTAATGAAAAAAAGGATTATTATCTCGTGCAGTTCTTCTTTTTCGGTGATGAGCTCTTCCGAACTGAAAAAGGTCCAAAAGAGCGAAAAACAACCTTGAAGTTTTGAAACTACGCAGAAATAAGCGCAAAAAAACGTTACTTTCTTTTTTAATTTTTTCAAACTTCTGGAATAGCTTTGAAATGTTTTTATCTGGCAAGAAAAAAAGGACAATAATTTCTCATTATTTTTTTATCACTTCTACATCATTCATTCACAAAAAAAAAATTAAAATAAAAATAGACCGTTTCGAAATTCGCCCTTTTTATTCTTGTGAAGGGAATCCGAAAAACTGAGTCCAATAACAAATTTGTGGCGTGCAAGCCCCGCCTCAAGGAGAAAAAACAACCACGCCTCATTTCCTCACTCGGAGGTCCATACATACCTTTCAAAATTTTCGTTATTCAAATTTCTTATGATTGTTGAAATTTCAGCTTCTCCGGGAGTTAACAAACTTTAGCCTCTTGAAAATGACTCGGAATATCAGCCTCGGGTGATTGAGCAGTCCCTTTATTAACAGGAAAAAGTTCCTAAAAAATAAAAATTTATTTTAAACCCTCAAATGTTAGAAAATGAGTTTGGGAAGTTATTCTTTCAGTAATTCAATAGAGGACTGCTTTATCGAACGTTCCAGGCTGGGTTTTCTGAGGTTGTTTTTCGGTGGCCTTAACTTTTCTTCAACGTTTGCTAAAACTTCCAAGTTGAACCTTTATAGACCCGTTTCCCGACGGAAAACTTCTGAGGATGAGTCTGGAGCTGAGAAGAAAGAAGCGCTACAAGTTGCTCTACAAGAATGAAGTGCGGTGCGCGTGCTTGGAGCACAAAGGTCGGCTCGTGTTCGATACGACCTTCGCGCTCCCTCCCAAGCAGTTCCGCGAGCTCGTGTTCACCGACAGCGAGTTCTTCAAGAAGTTCAACTTGAAAATGAATACGACCGACTTCGAAGCATCCGAATGGACTGTCGGCAAAAACGATGTCGAGACGAGGATCACCAAGTTCAAAGTCGCGATCAGGCAGCCGGTTGGGCCGCGGAAGTGCCGAGTTGAGGAACGACAGGTGAATCAACTGATTTGTTCCGATTCTTAACGTGAAACTCTCCAGACTCTCACTTACTTGCCTTGCCCAAATGACGGCTTCTCCGTTCGGAGAGAGTCGAGAGGCTTCGGATTCCACAGCTCGGACAACTTCTGCGTCATCGTCAGTTCCATCAATCCGAACTTCTTCACGATAATCACAACGAGCATTTTCAGAGCACCCACTGCGTCACAAAAATTCCTCCTGATCATTGTCGCGTGAGAGTTCACGCCGACATCATCTACTGGAAGAAGACGTGGAGCAAAGTTCAAGGTCCGTTTTCCCTGACCAGGGACCACTAGATGCAGTTTCCACGTTTGTTTCGAACTTGGAAATCGCTGGAAAAGTCTATGAAAAACTGCGACTGATCAAATTGAGGAACAAATATCTTGTTTTATGAGATTTTGAAAAACATTCCCGCTATAGCCAAGGCTCTACAAAAAGTCAAAGGACAAGTTTTACTTGACCAGAGGATCTAGAACTATTTAAAGAAGACTTTTAAATAAGTTATGGCGCTCCAACTTTGAAAAAAAAAATCGTAACCAGGAGAGGCTTCGTCGCTGGAATGCCATAAGCATGTGAGCAAATTTTTGATAGCCAAACATTGATTAAATATATATCCGAAAAAGATACAGTAGCTTTTCCGTGACCGACGGAGTTTACTAACTATCTCAGCCATCCGTGCTCAATAGGTTAGTCGATCTGAGATGGATGATCGCGAATCATTCAGTTTTTTGAATAATTCTCAATTATAGGTTTGATTCCCAAAGTTGCTCAAAAGAGAGCCCGGAATTGAGCGTCCATAACTTTTTATTCAAGCATTCTAGGTAACTTTCGAGGCAAGTCGGAGCGATGATGATATTATGCATCTTAAAACCTAGTTTTCATTTTCAAGTTTAATTGTAAGCTAAAATAACTATCTGATAAGCGTATTGGTGAGCATTTCACTTATTTAAGAATACATCGACGAGATCACCTACGATGGATTCGAGGAATTCTTCACAATTTTGGAGGAGATGCTCCGCGAGGTGCCGGCAGAGCAAGAAGACGACTTCGAGCAGGAGAAAAGCTCTCTTGCAAAGTCAAAAATGGTCGTCGAAGCTGTTCCGGACGAACCGAAGTCGTCGACGAAAAAAGTGTCCAAGGAACACGTCAAAACTCCTTCGCCCAACTACCGTGCCCAAATGCGCATTATCATCGCTTTGCTGGTCGTTGGCCTTGGGCTCAACTTCGGACTCCTGGTCCACACATGGAAGAACAGAAACAGGTAAAAGTCAGACGACTTGTGATCAAGACAATTAAATTCGTTTCGAGCAAGAGAAATGGCCTTGGAATGAATCAGATTATAATCGAGTTCACAGCCAATTCAACAGTTTTCTCTAATCTCTAAAAACATTCAGGCTATTCTGTCCTTTATCCAAAAAGCCTTACATTTTTTCTTTTCAGCGGTGAGGAATCTATCGCAGCGACGATCTACAGTATGAAGAAAACGGTGGAAGGCGTGACGGACAAGATCTTCAACATTCACAATCAAACCGAGATCTTTGAAATTCCGAAGAAGAACACGGTCTCCAACATCCAGAGACAGGCCAAGAACGTTGACATTCAGAATGAGATGCCTCTCTTTAAAACTCCGAAGCAGAAGATCTTCAACCTTCAGAGACAATCCAAGATCCATAACAGTCAGAATCGAGTCTTTTTTTCGGATCAGACCAGGATCTTCAACACTCTGAATCAAGTCTTCGAAATTCCGAACCCCACCTCGATTTCCAAAAACCAAGAACAGGCCAATTTCTTCAAAACGCCGAAACAGACAGAGTTTATGTGCGAATTGTAGACTTCCTTGTTCATCATCAACCACTTATTTTCTTTTTCTTTTTTCTTGGTCATATATAAAATCTATAATACAGAAATAAGCGATTGAAACTGTCCCATTCTGATGTTGCCAGGTTTCCAAGTTTATTCTTTTCAGCTCCTCTTGATAATATTTTGCCCTAAATAAAAGGTTGATCAAACATTTTAAAAAATTTATTCACGCGAAAAGAGAAATGTCGCGTGGTAAATGTAAATCTCATCATCTTTTGTCTGGGAATTCTCGGGGCCAACTATTCCCGGTGGATCTTCTTCTTCTTCTTATCGTCGTCGTTACGGAGTCGCATCAGAATGGCCTCCACAGAATCTTCCTTGTCGGCGTGGTCTCGCGGGATGTTCTTCAAGAAGGCCTGGTCGACGTCTTGACGTCGAATACGCTTCAGATTCCAGTTTCCGAATGCTTTCTCGACGGCGACGGCGCGATGGTGGCGGTCGTGGCTGCTGAAGGCGTTGGAGACGACCGACAGAAGCAGAAGAAGGAGCAGAAGAGGTCTCATCGTTGAGCGGTCATTCCGAGTTGTTTTCGTTCGTTTTATATGAAAATTCACGTGACGTTGCTGATTTTTTTTTCTTAGTGAGAATTTTTGATTTTCTGTATCCGTATGATGAAGTATGTCTCTTGGCGGTTCGAATCCCGTTCTTTCCTTTCATCAGCTTCCAGTTTGATGTAGAAGATCTAGTCCTCTAAACAAAATTAGAGTATCTTCAGAAGGTAAACAGACTTCTTTTGTGCCTAGGCAGGAGTCGGTTAGGTAGGAATAAACTATCTGCTTTGAGACTTTCTATAAAAGTATACCTACTTCTCTGGCGTCTCTCCCGGAAAATTAGAAAAAAATTTTCAAAATTATTTATTAGTCCTCTTTTATCATTTGATTCTGTGTTTTTTTTTGTTTTTTTAGACAGAGTTTCCCACAATTCCTTTCAATCGATTCTCTGAATCGGAGTAAGAAGAATGGTCGCTCAACGAACTTATTTTCTGCCAGACCGATAATTTCGTGAGAAAACTTTTCCTGCGTCATGAAAACAATAATAAAATCAAGGCTTGTTATTCACTGTACACGATCTGTTCATCAGTAGTAGAAGGAGGCAAAATCATCAAAATTGTACACGGATGAGGGGTAGGGCATGACAATTGCGAAGAAAAAACAAAGCAAAAAATAGATAAAAAGGTCAAATGTCCTCATCGAAATTGATACGGCCAACGAATCTCTCCAAGCCGGCCGCCACGTTTTGAGCCATGTATTCCTGGAGACATTAGAAGATTGAAGAGAACTTTTCGAATCTTTTATAGACAATCAAGACCCTTCACGATAACTACCTCAGAAGTCTAGACTGCATTCCTTCTTTTTCTTTCAGAGTATCATTCACTACGACTTGAAACGTTCTGGTCGCATGTAGAATGGTTCAACGCGTCGCAGTCCAGGCTTGCCTTTCAAGCGTGTCTATTCGGGAAAGTTGCATTCAGATCGGGCTAACCGCTACGGAGCCATTCCACGTGCGACTAACTTCGCGGCCCATCTACTTTTCTATTTTTTTTATTCCGCTGTCACACTGTAATCATGGCTTTTTATGTGTTTCTCATCGAATAAATGTTTCGAGCTATAATTCCCTATTCTGCACTGTCTCTATATCTTCGTATATTTTTTTGAAACTTTATTTTTCAAGTCATTCATTCCTGTCGTATTCTACCGATGAAAGCCCATTTCGAGCTCAAATTTTTCAATCTTTTAGGCTTTCTTTCTCTGAAACTCCTACTTCATACTTTTTTCATAAATTTTTGTGCTTGACCATTTTTGTAAAGTTCAATGAATTCTCGTACCTCAAAAGACATCTGCTTGAAGACTTGTTTGATGACGATCCTCGGCTTTTTTGGTCCAAGGCCTCCTGGCGGCACGTTTTCCTTGTCATCTAGCGTCCAGACCTCATAAGAGGTCCCTGAAGGGATCGGCTTGATTTTTGTGCTAGTTGATGTCTGAAAGATTATCTTTTTCTGAACTTTGTTTGGTGAAACGTACGGATGGATCCTGGTTGATTCTGGTGTTTACAGTATCCTTGATACCGTATCTTTCAATGTGGACGTTCAAATCGTGTACCGACATCAAGTAATTGTCGTCGTCGGCGTTGGCGCGGTCACAGACCTTCAATTTCGAAATGAGAAGTTGATAAAAATAATTAATTTCCTTCAATAACTACCTCGAACGGGTGCAGATTTCCTTGTATTTTCGGAGAATTTTTTCGTGCCGAGTTGAGTTTGAGCGACTTTTGGTGGGGATCCGCAGCAATGGAGGGCAGCCGGACGATTGGCACTTCTGGACCATCGCCAATCGCTGAAAATTGTCAATTTTTTGAGGGAAAATGAAATGTTTTTGGCTGAAAAATTATTTTGTCGAATTTTCTTCTGAAAAACTGATCCAAATGAAATGAAGAATCAGCTTTTCTCAATTTTAATGTAAACGAACTGGTCAACTGCGTGAACGCGACGCGGTGTTCTTCCAAATCATCTTCCTCGCCATCGGAACGTTCTTCCATTTCTCGCCGCATTTCTCTCATCTCCAGAGCGTCTTCGGCGTCGTTTATCGCCTAAAAATCCAGTTACTAATATGACATTGTTAATAATTGCAAGACATTTTTTTTTCTTTCAGAAAAATGAGTACAAGAAGAAATTCCAATTATTGAAGGCTTCTAGGGATCTTTTTCAACTATCTGATCTTACGATGAGAAATTAGTTTCAAAATAATGTTTGAAGTTGATTTTACAAAAAAAAAATGTTCTCAATGACTGAACCTCTAGTAAATTTTTCTATTTCGCAGTTGCTTGAAGTATGTATTCAAACTTACAACAACACAGAAAAAAAAAATTGTTAAGATGTGAAAGGAACGTTTTCTACCTCCCGGTTGAACCTTCGATGGAATTTGCTGAAATGTATTCTAGGACCTCCTGATTGCACCACAACTCAAAAAAACATTCCCCAGTAAGCCATTTGAGCATCTCGAATAGTTTTTCATAATTTTTTGTCACTACTTGATATATTTCGATCAAAGTTTGTGAGACCTTGAACTTCAAAACCAAAAAAAATTTATATATTATTTCATCTACCTCTTTTTCAATTTTTCCAATCGCTATCGAGCTGATTTTTTTATCATCAGGCACTGGACGCGCTTCAAGCGGAGAAGTGCTGGGAGTCTTTCTTCCTATTTTTCCTTTTTTTTTTCCATCCAGGCTAAAATTTCGCCTTCTCACTTTTATTTTTTCTTTTTCTTATTATGATGATTATTTTTAAGCGATACCTAGCGCATAAAACTGAACCATAATAATTTTTTTTTCATTTGAATATGGTGCTAAAAAAAACTTTGGCCGAATTACTTGAAACCGCTTCAAAAAGCAAGGATGCTAATTAATATCATAAAAATAACAACAACGCGTCTAAACAATCATTTTTCCATTCAAAGGGCAAAAATGCCAAAACCCTGACACGTTCCCGACCAGTGCCCTTTTCATTATTGAAGACCGTTTTAAACCTCCAGAGGCACAGCCGCATTGGTTTTAGCCAATAAAAGAACTCTCCGAGCTTCGACTCGAGCTCCAGCCAACTCATTGCACTGTGACCAGCGGACATACATCGAAGCACATCTGAAAACTTGTTTTACTGAACTTTTACTCCTACAAGTATCGAAAAAAACCTTATCAACGATTTATGGCTGACCGCATAGTGATAGATATCCCTTGCGTGGCCGCCGCTGTTGTCCGCCAACTTTTCCCAAATTTTCAGCATTCGCTCGTCTTCGCGATATTTCTCTATGAATCCTGGCCTAAAAATTCTGAGTTATTGACAAAAAAGATTTTTTCAGCTTACTGTGCCACAATCTTCCAAAGAAACTGGTAATAAAGTCGATGATGCCCGATAGTGAAATGGTTCTCAAACCAGGTACAAAACTCCAACGCCAAATTTAACGCATCGCAACCTTCTACTGTGCTGTTCTCCAACACCTCTTCCAACTTTCTTCTCGCTTCATCTTCGTCAACTACCGTTTCTACCTAAAATTCAATTTATTATATATCACTCGACGTTCTTTTAACCCGCTGAAGAGCTTCGACTCTTCGGCCGCGCCTCGTTGGTCGCATGTTCTCGGAATAACGTTCCCAGTCATTCTCGTCCTCTTGTTCAGGACGAGGAGACAGGGAAAAGACGTAATCTGACTTTGAAGCACGGTTTTGATCACCTTGTGCGTTTTCCATTCTGAAATTTTATGATAATTTAATCTATTATGAAGTCTTGATTTATATTGACGATAATATCAATAAAAAAGCACACCAATCAAGATATCTTGAAAAAAATATACAAAAACAAAAAGTTTTTCAAAACTGCCGCCTGCGGAGGCGTCAATTGGAATTTCGTACTCGCTGCTCCGCCGAAAATGACGTTTTTTGAAATGTCCGACCGTATTTTTTTTTGTTTTCAAATAAAATTTATATTTCCTCACTGCTCTATCCGCTGTAACATTTTTTACTCAGCTGTAACGCATGCATTTTTTAATCATCAAAAGTTTGGTTGTTGGAGGTATTTCAAACAATCCGTGATCAATTGCATCATTCTCTTTTTTCCTCGATTTCACCTAATTCTTTCAATCTTAAAATCCAGTTCGTTTTCCAGATGATTCGAGGTCTTGTTTCCAGTAGGCAAATTATTGCACGCGGGTTGGCTGTTCCTAGAGCTTCGATTTCTGCCTCCAGTTCTTGTTGGTACAGTAATGCTGCTCCAAAAAAAGGCGGTTTCATCAACAATCTCATCGAAAATGTCAAGGAGGAGTTGGAGAAGAACAAGGAGTTGCATGTATTTCGTATTGTCAATTGTTGAGATTAATATAATGTCTTTAGGAACACCAAAAGCAACTTCGAGCTCGAATGCAAGAGCTCAATGACAGCGAAGCTTTGAAAGACGCCCGAAAAAAATTTGTCAGTTCCGAAAGCTTCTATAAATCAAAAAAAAAGCTATTTTCAGGAAGTTGTGGAAAAGGAAACGATGAAAAGCTCGCAAGTAGTGAAAGTGAAAATCGAAGAGCTCAGTGAACAAATGTCTAAGGTTAATAAATCTTCTTAAAAAGGTAAAATTTTATGTTTAGATGATCAAAGAGATTCAAAAGACTGAAGCCGGTAAGAAGATGACAGCAGCTGGAGAGGAAGCTTTGAGACAGGTTGGGAACATTCGTTTCCAACAAAAATAAGCAAACGTTAGTTAAGGCGAGAATAGCGGCCGAGCACATGGAGAAAGTCGCCGAAAAAGTTGGCGACACTCAAGTTTACAAGCACGTTTCTACTGTGAGTATTTCTTCATGAGTTAATTGTTTTTAGTACACTTTTAGTCAATGAAAACTGTGAAGGATGAGATTGACACAATTACCGATGTCCGGATGTACAGCAGGCCAGGTGATCGGATCAATGTTTCATGATGAAATTGAATACTTTTAGACGTTTTGAAAAAGCGAACAGATGGCTTTTCCACTGAAGCAAAAACCGTAGCGGCTAATGAGTAAGTTTTTTTCTATCATAGTCTGTTTGAAATGGAGCATCGGTGGCATTTTAAGTTGTTCAAGACTACCGTTCCTCTGAAAACTGACCTGTTTGTAAACCTTTTACCTGGTTCAAAATTTAATTTTTGAATTTAAGCGACGCTACAGACGTGACACTTCATAAGGAATCGCGATGGTACGCCGGTTGGAAGGAATTTTCTGAAAATAACGCCTACTATAATAGTTCGTTTCGTGTTTTTTAGTTCCCCCTTCCAGCTTAAATTTTTCTCATGCAAAAATAATGAAGATCATTTTTTTCAGAAGTTCTGGATTGGAAAATTCGTTACGATGAATCGGATAATCTTGCCGTCCGTATGATGCGCGGGATTACGGAGAGAATCGGGAGTGTTTTCAGTCAGTTTCTTTTTTAATCAGGGAATATTAAATGATTTGATTTCAGGCGGTCAAAATGAAGTGAGCGAAGTTTTGACGGAAATCAGAAAAATCGATTCTTCATTTGATAAGGCCGAGTGGCTGAAGTTCTGCGAAACTAAGGTAAGAAGGGGGGAAAAATTACTGGCTTATTTTTAGAATTGAGCTTATAGGTTTTTCTTTGTTGATAGTTTTGCTCCCAATTTTCCAATTTCAGATCATTCCTAACGTTTTGGAAGCGTTCATTCGTAGTGATCTCGAAGTATTGCAGGACTGGTGCCATGAAAGGGTTAGTTTTAATTTTTTCTTTTGTTGGAAACAAAAGAACATGCTTTCAAGGCATACATCGCCTTGTCCAACGTCATCAAGGAATACAAAAAGATGCACTTCAGTATGGCTGATTCGAGGGTTATCGACGTCAGCAAAGTCGAGGTTTTTTCATTTTATATCATTCGATAATTTGGCAAAAAAGGATGTTTCAGATGGTATCCGGAAAGATGATGGAACAGGGTCCAGTCTTGATTATCACTTTCCAAGCCTTTATGATCAATGTGGTGAAGAATGCTGAAAAAAAAGTCGTTGAAGGAAGTCCGGTTGGTTTTTTTTTATTAAAAGAAGTGTTAGTGCTTTGAAAACATGAATATGTTTTTCGATGAAACTAAGAGCTTCGAAAGCAAGCGTTGGAAGTGAAGAATATAAGATTCGTATAAAAAAAACTTCTTTCTTATCAATAAAGATATTCTTTAACGGCGCAATGGTTCGTTTTTGTTACAAGCCAATATTTTTTTGAATTCTAATGACAGGTTTTATTTTCCCTTTCTCAGGAACTTGCTCACCAGGGAATGGTCTCAGCTCACAGTGGGACTTCTGAAAGAGACCATATTTTCTAGATGTAGTTTTTTACGCTGATTCCAAATCCGTTTTCAGAAGCTGCCACCGAGGTCTGTGAAAAAAGTTATGGACCCTCAAAAGTCGAAAATTTCATAGTCTCCGATCGAGCTGATTTTTAGAGGGTATATAGTCCTTGTTTCCCTTGTCACGATAAACCATCAAATTTTCTCAAAAAATGTTTATGAGCCAAGATATGAGCTTTCAAAGCCCCACCGCACACAAGAGAATGCGCACGCGGTGTCCTATTGCGATCTGACGGCTGTCGAAGCAACGGCGGCGAGGAGCAGTGGAAAGGCGGCGGACTGGGGATCACCAGGACAAAGGTTCGGTGCCCACGCTGTGCAAACTTTTTTTGCAGTTTTTTCTTTTTTGGATATTTCCGGTTAAGTGCTCCTTTTCTGAGTTTCGAAGCGTAGAAACATGAAAACACTGCGTTTTGAGCCTATTCAAACAGCTAGACTTCTTTTTGTCGCAAATTTTTTTCATGGATTTTTTCGTGATTTTCCATGTATATGAGCATAGGTTAGAGTATCAAAATTTTTCAGAAAAAAATTTTTTTATGGCTTTTTAAAAATCTTTTTCTTTTTTTCTAAATATAGTCTAACCCGAAGTCATCATGGCTACGCTTGTCGATCACAGAAAAAAAATTTTTTTTACTTCAATAAACTCTTCGTGCTTTTCAGTGGGCTCACCTATGACCGTCGCCTTTTGCCGTCTGACTATGAATTTTCAGGAATTACATTGAACGAAACATTTTTTTGGGGAGTTCCGAAAAAAAAATGTCTGCGTTTTCTACCATCGCAGTTATGAAAACTTGCGTCTAGCCAGCGTTCAAAAAGGAAAAGAAAACAAAAAAAATTTTTCTGAAAATTTTGACACTCCAACCTATGCTCATACACATGGAAAATCACGAAAAAATCCATGAAAAAAATTTGCGACAAAAAGAAGTCTAGCTGTTTGAATAGGCTCAAAACGCAGTGTTTTCATGTTTCTACGCTTCGAAACTCAGAAAAGGAGCACTTAACCGGAAATATCCAAAAAAGAAAAAACTGCAAAAAAAGTTTGCACAGCGTGGGCACCGAACCTTTCCTCGCCGCCGTTGCTTCGACAGCCGTCAGATCGCAATAGGACACCGCGTGCGCATTCTCTTGTGTGCGGTGGGGCTTTGAAAGCTCATATCTTGGCTCATAAACATTTTTTGAGAAAATTTGATGGTTTATCGTGACAAGGGAAACAAGGACTATATACCCTCTAAAAATCAGCTCGATCGGAGACTATGAAATTTTCGACTTTTGAGGGTCCATAACTTTTTTCACAGACCTCGGTGGCAGCTTTCGAAAACGGATTTGGAATCAGCGTGAAAAACTACATCTAGAAAATATGGTCTCTTTCAGAAGTCCCACTGTGAGCTGAGACCATTCCCTGGTCAGTAGCATTGAAAGGATCATGAACGAAAAACTTTTTGGGAAAAAAGGATATTTTTGGCGAAAAAAAGACTGTAACGCAAGTTCCAATTGAATATTAGAAACAAGGCGGTAATTTAAGGGATTCAGTGAGTTTCAAGCTTAGAACCCATAAAGGGATAGGTTTTTGTGGCAACTCAAATCTTCTCAAATTGAAGTCATCATTGTGGTTAAAAGGTATTTATTGTAGTCAACACTACCTTCCTGAGTTTGAAAATAATTTTTACTCGTTGCTTCGATAAACTTTTGTGAGCCAATCCATCACTTGGACGTATATAGTCAATCTATCCCGACTTGAAAGGCAAGGGAGACGGAGAAGTTGGCGAGACGCGGTTCTTGGCACTAGTTCAATTCAAGCGCCACCGAATATTCAAAAAATAAATCGGTCAACGCTTTTTTGTGTCTATTCTACTATTTTCTAGTGCACAGATGAAAATAATCAATGAAGTGTTGAAAAAAGATATGAGAAGAGCGATAAACGAGCTCTCCAGATAGTTGCTGGCGATTGAATTGATCTGAACCGCATACGCGCACGCTACGCGTCCCGCCCCCTTCTCGCCTCCCTTGCCCTTCAAGTCGGGGAAAATTGAATATGGTCTGTCCAAATTTTGAATGTCAAGCAGCTAAATTCGTAAACAGACCGGATTCAGCTCGGGGCAATGTATGACCCTGATTTTCAGGACAAAACAGTACGGGTTCACCACGTCTGGGTGCTGTGCCGCGACATGGAGGAGTACAACCCAGCGTTGGCGTGGAAATTGCTAGAAGTTCATATGCAAGAGGGAGAACTCGCTGTTTAACCACTTATTTTTGATTCCTGTGTTGAGTTTCTCATTTTTTGGATTGAGGACAAAAAAGCCTGAGAAAAGACGCGCCTTAGGCAATTTTGCACTTTTGATCCAGTATACTTCGAGGAAGTTTAATTTCAACGCGCAAAGAATTTTTAAAAAGTTCATGGAGTTTACCGCTTTTCTCATACAATCCTTGTGGAAAAAATACTTTGGAGAGCGCCTTTTTAGACTATTTTTGTCTTATACCCATTCTTTCCCACCTGTGATGGAAATCATGTAACTCGTATATTCTCAAAGAACGTTAACAAATGTATTTATGCACTTTCCTCCATTTTTAGGCATTAGTTCTAGTAGATTTCTAATAGGAATATTGTTTAATATTGTTTTTTTTTTGCTTACGTATTATTTTCTTGTTGTCGATTATAGCGGGTTACCGTTTACTTGTCCTTGTGTCTCAATTCATTTATTTTTTTTTTGCTTCTTAGGTTCGAGGATATTCGTTTTGTTACTAGTTAAAACCGTACCTGTGCTTATTTTTAAGATTTTTTTGTTAATATAACGGGTTTTTTTCAAATCAACGTCCGTTATTTCAAGCTTCGTATAGACCTTTTTTTAAATGTGATACTCTTTTTTTAAAAATTTCTTTTTTTGTCATCGAGTTACTTTTTGAAGATTTTACCCATGCAAAGTTCAAATGTTTTAATTTTTTTAAAAGATTCTATAAATTTATCGAATTTATACCTGATTTCAAATACGTTTTTTTGATCTTCAATTTTTGATCGCCTAAAAAAATTAGTTTATAGTTGACCTACCGATCACAAGTCAAGATTTTCTTGAAACCCTTGATCCACTATTGATTGATACCAAATTTTATCTATTTTTTGACTGCGACCTCTTAGTTTCATCGCCTATGAATTTCTATTCGACCCTCCAGGATCTACGAAATCAATATGGACTTTTCTATCTTTCCCAGATAAACTGAACGAAACTGCAAGTTTTCAAAATACCATGCCGATGTGTTTCTGAAGGACATACTCTATCGCCTGAGAGTCGTTCATATTATGATTTGCTCGTCAGTCGCTGATCCACGGGAGCCGTCTCGTTCCGCGTTTGACTGACGTCCGTCGAGTCGCACGGGCTTTTCCTTGTCACTTGTTATGTTTTTGGGACGTCCTTTACGTTTTTGCTTGTGATTTTTTTTTCCGCATGACGTCTACTGGTTGAGTTTCTTTCAAAATCACGTTCAATTTGAATCGTTCAAGAGATTTTTGCAGAATGAATCCGTTAAAAAGGAAGTCCATTTTTTTTCCGTTCGGGATTTTTCATAAAATTGGCCAGAAAGCTGCTTGATGTACCAGTAGAAGATTCTGAAGTTTCAACCTGCACAAAATCTCGTTTTTCGAGAAAAGACGTCTCTGAAGAAAACTTTCAAAATCCCTTAAAATAGGCTATTTTGGGGCTTTGTGCCCTTATTTGGCCAAAACTAGAAAGTTGTGCAGGTCCTGACATTCAGGATCTTTCTCTGGTACATCAAGAAGTGCTCTGAGCAATTTTCAGGCAATTCTCAACCTCAAAGTAATTGTAAGTAGTCTCCAGGCAATATTCATTCAAAATATAGCGTTGAAATGGAAATTTTCAACACACTGTTCTATTGAAATTTAATAGAGTATATTCTTTTTTTCTACAATTTCTCTCGAAAAAAATGATATCAAAGATCTCTTCTTCACAAAATTATTTCTTTTTTTTTCTATTTCCGCTTCTCTTTTTTTGCAGAAATTATATGATTTGATATACTTTAATTGAATGATCCGATTAGTGATGATTAATCCTTATTTCTCAGCAAGGAACACATTTCTTCAGTGGCCATATCTCTTTTAATCGAAATCAATAGTCAACATTCTGATTTCGAATTTTCAATATGATCCTCCTTTTTTTTGTAGAGCTTCCTAAGCTTTCGAAGGGGAACAAATCAAATTTTAAAAAACCCATAAAATACAGCCAAAAGAAGCAAAACCCTCTTATTTTACTTGTTCAAAAAGCTCCTGGAACCACGAGATAAAATGTAAAGACGACGAACGAAGAAAAAAAAAACATGGACGGATGAGTGATGAAGAGGAACACGGAAAACACTTGTTCGTTCGTTTTTTTGCTTGTTATTATTGGGTCACCTGTTCGCCTTTCCCAATGAATTCACTCAAGTTTTGCTGTTTACCCTGTGTTCCTTATGTGACTTTTTAAACCAATTTTCTGTTCTTCTTCGATATGCCTAAATCTCTGAAGCTATGCAGTTAGAACTATATTAGACTTTGTCTTATTTTAGCCTAGTACCTTACAGTAGCTTACTGGGCTTAAATTCTACAGAGAGGTCTCTATAGGTAGGCACCACAAGCCATTTCTCGAAAAAAGTAATGCATAGTCGAATCCTACACCATCTGATAGCACATGCTGTCCAAAAATCAAATCAGTTTAGCTTTTCGAAAAATTTTGTTTTTGAGCCGAGTTATGAAGCTTTTAGTGACGCGCGAGAAAACCAAAAAATCTGGTGTTTTCCCAATTTTCGGCTGCCGCCGCACTGTTTTGACTCGTTTTCCATTCATATTCAACCGTTTTTCAATCGGTTTTTTGTTGAAAACTGATGAGAATGCTTCTCTGATTGTTATTCGCCCAGTTTGAGGTTTTTACGAGAAAAATTAGTTCGAAAAATAAGAAAAAAGGATCCTCGGGACCAACGAAAAAACTATTATATGATTTTTTTTGTTCAAATCATCAAGAGAAGGCAGTCTAACAGTTACATAAACAAGATAATGACAAATAATATCATATATCATAGAAAAAAACAAATTTCTGAATTTTTTTAATTTCGGATTTCCAATTTTTTTCGCCCGTAAAACACTTATTTTTCCTTCAGAACGGCGCAATATCACACCCACGACACGCTTCGACGCGCAAAAAAATAAAATAAAAAAATTGACCGTTTTCGGTCATTCAAAAAGCTCATTCTTTTTTTCGGCACCGCCAGATTTTTTTAATTTTTTTCTAAAAAAATGTAAAATTGTAAAGGCAAAAAAACATATCCAAAAAAAGAAAACGTGAAACGATATTGCTCTTGTGAAACGCTCCAAAAAAACGTAATTCATTTTTTGCGGGCGTTTTTTTGTAAATACAAATTTAAACTTATTTTTGCTCGGTTTTTTTGACTTTGTTTTTTTCTGTTTTTCACGTTATTTAGATTTTTTTCAATTTTTTTAAACAAAGAAAATCACTAGGCTGTCGCTGAAATTTTTTTCGCATTTTTTTGCTCCAAACTTTTTGTGTTTTTTTGAGTGTAACTTTACAAGCTTCGTTCTTTTTTTCGACACCGCCAGAATTTTTTTGTTTTAGTATATTTTTTTCGAAGGATGTTATAATGAATAACATATCCAAAAATTCAGATGTGAAACGCATGTAGTTTTTGTGAAACGAGTTTGTTTTGTGAACTGTATCAACTTTTTGTGGCAGTTTTCTTCTTTTTTGGGATAAATTTCGAAAATCGCTGGATTTAAAAGTTATCTAGTTTTGTAGAGCGATGTTGATTACATAGGAAAGTAAGAAATATGAATTTTTCAATTAACGCTTTGCTCACTAACAGAGCTTCAAACCAGTTTTTCAACCGAAAAGTCGTCAATTTTGGTGCGATGAAGGGGCGAGGCTTTGCGCTCCCTATCTATAGGGGCAACCTTAGGGGTTTTTGGAGGCTCCCTTTGCTTTATTGGAATGAAAATTGTCAACAGAGGATAAAACAAAAAGACCTTTTTTTTTGAATTTCATATCTAAACTTGAAATTAAAAGACCCTATAGGGATCATTTGAGCGTGAGGGGCTCAGGGATCAGACCCTTAACACCTACAGGTACCACTTGAATGTTACCCCTATATGGCGCAAAATAGGGCTGTTCTTTTTCTAACCCCTATAGAGATCACTCTGGCGTTCCTTAGATGATTTCAAATCTCCTGGTCTATCTATAGTTAATCTGGAGATTGGAAACATTCTCCAAGATTCGTCAAACAGGGAGATTTTTTTTTCTATGAGACGAAGAAAATATTAGTATTTTTACGTTTTCGAATATAACTAAAATCACAAGAACAATGTCCAAAGTCCTTTCCGACATTCATATTTTCACATTTTTCTCAAATTTTCTCGAAAAATGGAAGAAGCAGGTGAAATACAAAAAGGTTCTCAACAAAATCTTGGCCTATTCCAAAGGCCAAAGCTCAATCTGTCTCAAAGAGCAAGGGCAACATTTTTTTTCTGTTCTTTTGAAAAGGCCAAATCCCACCTGAAATGTCAAGTTTCAAGCAAAGGTCAGCCAAATGGAAACGTCTTTCAAGTCAAGCGAATATCCGCAATGAGAACACGATCAAAGTCCCAAGTCTCATAGGATTGAGTCATCGATGGATATTCAAAGGCACTTGGAAATTTCCAAAAAAGATTTGGACAAGAATTGAACAAAATATAATTGAAATAAATTGTCATCTTTGATGAAAAATATGCTAAAAAGTTTATAAAATTCTCAAAAACGTTATTTTTTTTCTTGTGAACTCTATAACTACTGAATTGTGCCAAATTACAAAAAAACCCGTTTTTTTAAAAAAATTTTTATGTAACTTCAAATCCCTGCATCAGAAAGGTAACTTTTTTTGAATGAAATACATTTATTTTCGATGAATTTATGAAGAGAAAAAAAATAAAATGTTACAAATACCAGCCCGCTGAGATACTTGAAAGCGTACGAATATACATTTTGTCAAGTTTTTTTCAATGTTCGCGTCGAAAAATGTTTTTCAGGGTTTTTGGAGATTCCCTAAAGTGTTCAGGAAGGAAATACGAACCTTTTTAATTCTTTTTTAATTTTTAAACTTGGTTATTCCTATACTCCGTTTTTCTCGACTTAAAACTGCATTGTTCTCTGCGCCCTCCTCGTCTCTAGATGACCCTCTCATGTTGACGTGCTATTTTTACGTTTCTCTGACT